GATATACCTCAAAGATTGCCTTCYAGGGAGAGGATGGAGCTGCATTGGGGGCTAATTTTGCATCCCARCYRTTATCTRYWTCACCATGTAAGCTTTTAATGACCCTGTGCCACAACCTTTCTTCCTCACAAGGGAATCTCCACAGCCATTTCCCTAGAAGGGCCTTGTTTCTCTTTAATAGGTTCCCTATACCTAATCCACCCTGGTCCTTAGGGTAACAAACTTGCTCCCATTTAACTAAATGATCTTTCTTTTCATCACCTGGTTCCCACAAAAAGTCCCTCATAATCTTCTCCAATTTCCTAGCTATTTTCACTGGGATCTTAAAGGTGGAAAGGAAATAGGTGGGTAGGTTTGCTAGGCATTCCTTAAACTGGCTTCATCACAGCTTGCCTAAGGCCATGTGAATTAGAAGTTCTTGGACTACATGTTAAAGATGATAAATTTCGGCGAGAAATGTAGAAATTGGATAAAGTGTGCTTATCTTCCTCATCGTTCTCAGTGCTTGTAAATGGGAGTTCTTTCGGGCTGTTTTGGAGTTCTAGGGGTCTAAGACAAGGGAATCCCCTCTCCCCACTGTTATTCATCTGTTTGACATAAGCCCTCTCTAGGCTTGTAGAGAGAGCCCGTCTGGGAGGGCCAGTGGAAGGTTTCTAATTAGATAATGGGGATGTGGAGATTGCTCTGCTGCAATTTGCAGATGACACTCTTTTTTCTGTGATGATTCTTGGGAACAAATTTGGACTGTGAAGGCAATTTTAAGTTGGTTCGAGGTGGTCACTTGTTTGCATATTAGTATTCTAAAGAGTGAAATAGTGGCTGTTGGGGAAGTTATAAACTTGGAAGTATGGGCTGAATGATTGGGGTTGCAGAGTTGGCAAACTCCCAACAAAATATTTGGGTATGCCTTCAATTATCAAAAAAAAAAAAATTGGGTATGCCTTGGGTGAAAATTGTAAATCCAACACCATTTGGGAGTCCATTGAAAAAATTGATAGAAAATGGCTTCTTGGAAGACCAAATACTTATCAAAAGGGGGTAAAGTCACTCTAATTAGAAGTTTGTTGTCTTCCCTTCCCGTTTATTACTTGTCTTTGTTCCCAATTCCGGCAAGTAGGGCTGTTGTGTTAGAAGGAAAGATGAGAGACTTCCTGTGGTGGGGGTGAAGGAGTCAAAATGCCATCTGGTGAACTGGGAGAAAGTTTGCTGCTTCAGGGCAAGTGGAGGTTTAGGGATCAGATCAGTAAAAACACTGCCTCGTTAGGGAGGTGGTTGTGGAGCTTCAATGACCAACCGAATGGTCTGTGGAGAAGGTTAATTGTATCCAAGTATGGTTCCAGCAGCAGGGAGTGGGAGAAAGAAGTAAGATCCTCTTATGGGTGTTCAATTTGGAAGGCAATTCAGAAAATTCATCCACAACTTTTGAAGGGTATAAACTATAAAGTATGAAGAGGGCAATGGTCAAAGGATTCTTTTTTGGAAGGGTTATTGGTGTGGGGAGGGTCTAATTCCCTGATCTGTTTGAGATTTCTATAAATAAGGACACAACAGTGGCTATTGTTCGGAGAGGAAAATGGGCATTGTATTTGGAACCCCCAATTCTGGAGGAATTTAAATGACTGGGAGGTGGCTTCTGGACCAGGGGAGGACAAAAGAAAATGGTCATTTGTGAAATCAGGTACCTTCTCTGTAAAATCTTTTTACAACAGCTTGATGAGGGAGGACCTTTCTTCCTTTCCAAGTGACAGGATTTGGATAAGGATTATTTTGTCTAAACTGGCTTTTTTTTGTTTGGTCTGCAGTGTTGGACAAGATCCAAACTAGGGACAATTTAGTTAAAAGAGGTATAGAGGTGGCAGATATGGCTAGCACACTACGCAATGGAGGTGTGGAACAATGATTTAAAAGGCACGCTGAGGCGCGCCTAGGCGCACAGGCGAGGCGTATTTTAGAGTAGGTGCCTTGCCCAGGTCCTAGGTGCAACAATGTGCCTTGGCCTAGGCGTGTGAGAGAGCCATCCAAGATCTGCCTACCATCCACAAATGCACCTTGAGAAGGAGACATGAGCATGCCCAAGACTATATCTCAATCTGTTGGCTAGTACCTAAAAATCAGTTTATATATGCTACCTATCAAACTGATGGTTCTGAAGTCCTTTATGTCCACTGCACCACTTATATTAGGAATTAAAGACATAAAAGTTGCATTTGCTTTTGGTGTCAGAGTCACATTAGAGTGGAATTCCCTTATCACTGCCATGAAATCATCCTTCAGGATTTCCCAACAATTCTTGTAGAAAGCTAATGGGAAACCATCTGAGCCAGGGGCCTTATTCTCATTCAAATCTTGTAGTCCTTTTAAGAACCTCAGCTTATTGAAAGGAGATTCCAATTTGTCTCTCTCATCTACAGGGATACTGCTAAAAGGAGATAAAAAAAAAATAAATCTTTGAAGTTCTTAACTATAGCCTTTGTTATCTATCACTTGTCTACTATCATCTGTCCTTTAATTTTGATTTGAGATATGTTATTGCAATGGGGTATGTCATTGTCTACTTTATGGAAAGAGCAGTGTTCTTGTCTCCCTCTTTTAGCCAAATAGCTTTAACCTCTGTTGCAAGCAATTTCCTCCATAATGGCTAGCCTAGAGAACTCATCCATTGCCAAATCTCTTTCCCTTTTTTATTTTTCAGCATCCAATAGCACATTCGATTCTTCTTTCAGATCAAGAATGAAGAAGAGAATTGCTTGGCTAGTGTGGACCTGATCTGGGCATTTAGTGGGTCAATTTTGGTAAAGATGTTGCTGAAGCAAAAGTCTTGGCGTTGTTGTTGGGCTTGAGATCTGTGGTGGCTCTTAACATCACTGAGTTGGTGGTGGAAGGTGACTCCAAGAATGTAATCAGTTGGATAAAAAACAATAAGGACTAAGGAGGGCTCTTGGAGATTCAGATTCAAATGCATTTTTAATGAGATTTTGGAAATCGTGTCTAACTTGATCTGTCATTTTAGATGGACTCCTAAATAGCTGAATTATGTGGTTGATGGTTTGGCTAAGTCAAGGGTGGGGAGGGATTTTTTGCATGGTGACTCTTGTCACTCCTCAATGCCTCCCTAAATTCTAGAGGTCTTTTTGGTTATTGGTCATGTTTGGCATTGCTGTTCATCTCCTCATGTACATCCTTTTCCCCTTTTTTTGCAATGAAATGAAAGTTACCCTTTTCTCAAAAAAAAAAGAAGAAAAGAATTGCTTGAATGTATCGTCCAAACAGGATTCATGTAGCCGGTCCCATATATTTGGGATAAGGCATGGATGTTGGATATAATGTGAGACAAAAAATTGAAGTAAATTAAAAACATTACTCAACTTATCATGATTGTGTATGTCAAAACTTAAAGTGCATGCTTTGTTTCTAGGAAGCGGCAAAAGCTACTTAGCCAAGATGCTTCGTGATCTTGAGGTTGAAAATGGTGGTGATGCGCCAAGAATTCACTCCATGGATGATTATTTCATGACTGAAGTTGAAAAGGTGAACTACTACTTTCATTTCTTTTTTTTGCTGATGTCTAGCATAGTTTTTTTCTGTGATAAAAAGTTTATTTTCTGCACATTGAACTATGTTTCTCTTTTCCTTTTTCTCTTCTGTCTTAAAATATTGATAAAATATAATTTGTATAAACTATTTGCCACTATCTTGAAGGTTGAGGAGAGTGAGGGTTCAACTTCAGGGAAAGGAAAGAAACGCATTACAAAGAAGGTCATGGAGTATTGTTATGAACCAGAAATGGAAGAGGTAATCCTGACCATCATTTTTGGAACACTATAGTCATAGTTCACCACTCGTGTGGATAGCTTGCATTAATCTTCTCATTTGATTCTCTTCCGATTCTTTTTATGTAGTATAGACTAGCCAGTTGGCAGATAACATAAAACACTTTCTTATAACCCAAGTTTGTGTTAGCAATGAAAGTATTTGGCATGTGGTTCTTATAGATGTTTGCATTGTAAGAAAGATGAAAAAGGAAAGAACTCTAGTTGATATGTGGTTATTTCGATTTTTGGCTTTTATTATGGTTTCAACATTCAACCATTGAAATTATCTATGCTATAGGCTTACCGGTCAAGCATGTTGAAAGCATTCAAGAAGACTGTTGAGGAGGGAATGTTCACGTTCATAATTGGTATGAATCTTATGTGGAGAAACTGGAAATTTTTATATGAACCTTTACATTTCTGACCCTTTCTCAGCATTTTTCTTAATAATTTATTTTTTTTGCAAATATCTGTACTTTGCTAGCATTTTTATTATTTATTATTTGTTTTGGAGACTGGTATAGACTTGTGTGCAGTGTTAATATTTTAACTAATTCAGCATTACATTTTCATTTGGTTGGAAAAATTGAAAAACTAACTTAATTTGTTGAAAGGTGCCTACTTTTTGCATTTAGTTGCTTGCCTTTGGTGCTAAAATGGCTGCATCTAAGACATATTGGTTTATTTAGACCAGTCTTGTGTCTCATCCATATTCCTCTTAGGTGCATGGTATTAAGTGAATTCTTCCTCATTCAAAAAGATCAAAATGTGCCTATAAAGGAATTGATGAAAAGCTCTCCCAGTCCTAGCTCATTTATAATTAAGCAAGTTCGATATTTCAGTATGGTTATAGATACAGTGGTGGGGTGCAGTGCATGTGCACTGTTTTCATTTTCACTAACTACAGATGCAGTTTTGTTCGGCAATTGACCCATTTGTTGCTGGTATGTGTGCCTCGTCTTAGTGGATGACCGCAATCTGCGGGTAGCTGATTTTGCTCAGTTTTGGGCAATTGCAAAGGTATATCCTCGATTCTTTCTTGTTTACAACCTTTGTGAGTATCTTTCTTTTATCTTTTCTTCTTTTTGTCTAGAACATGTTCGGCAGTTCTGAGACCAATCTTCATCATGTATAGATTCTCTAGTAGTTGGACACATCATGTTCATGTCTTGCATTTACTTGCTAGTTGGCTAATCATGATTGCACATTTGCACCACCTTCTTAACACTTAATAATAGTCCAAGTCATTATATCTTTTTTGATCAGTAACTGGAGCGTCCAACTTGTTAGATACTCATTTTTTAATGCCTCTTCCTTTCTTTTCTTCTATTACGATTTCGCTAAATTCTTTTGCTGTGTTTTTTCCTTTTGCATGCCCGTGGACGCATCATATACATAAAAAATAGATTCTTAGCTTGTGTCATGTGTTGGTCTTTTTTAATAATTGAGTCAAGTGTTTCCTGTTACCATGATTTAAAAATTGATAAGGTCATAGAGAAGGGTGACTGCATGTTCCCATGTGGAAACCAGGGAAGATCTGTAGGCGTGCAGTTCAGAAGTTATAGAAGTTTCTATTGTCCGCATGGATACTGTGAGGTTTTCTTGGTTTTATGGTCCCAGACGAGGCCTCTTGAAGTGTTAGTTGCTTTTGTTCAACTTCATCTCTTGGAACTTAAGAGTTACAATGATTGTTGGGGGATGACCAAATATTATGATGTTGAACATGACAGAATGTTATGGTTGTTTTTGCAAATTGAGTCTCGTTTTTTTGTCTTGCAGACAGAAGGTAGACATGTTTCATGACATTATGTGGCCTAGTATTAAGCATTATTACCTACAATCTGTGTTATACTTGATATGTTTGCATGCTTTGTTGCATTTCTTAATTGATTCAAGAATTTGATGCTCTTTTTTATTAGGCAGATTTTTGGTTTCCTTGTGGTTGAGGCATTACTAGTCAGTTAATATTCTTTTGTTATGAAATAATCCAGTTAATTCCCTATTCTTTCTTTCTTCTTTTCTTCATTTAGGGTCCATTTGGTTCGCAATCGGAATCGGAATCAGAATCAAAATCCTCCGGAATCGGAAACGGAATGGTTCATTCCCATAGTCTGTTTGGTTCAGACAGGAATGGGAATGAGAATTAAAATCAGCAGGAATGGGATTTCATTCCCAAGGGAGGGGCAGGGAATGGTCATTCCCTCAAATGGGGGAATGCCATTCCAGCAGGAATGGGAATGGGATTCCGATTCCGCCCAATCAAACAGTTGGAATTGGAATAACCCATTCTGATTCTGATTCCAGACCCCTATTCCCGCGAACCAAACGGGGCCTTAGTCATTATGTATTTTGGTTAGGCTGTTAACAATCTTAGCTATCCAATTAGGCAAAATTTCCCCTTCTGAATAAGCAATTATGTTTCCATTGATCACTATTCCTTTTCTTGAATTCATTCAGTCTCAAACTTTATTGGTAATAAGATGTTTGGCCAGGTCATCTTGGCTTGCCTAGAAGCCAAGCGGTTTGTTGTTGTTGTTGCCTTTTTCTTCTCTGTGGGGAAGGGAGAGGCTCAGTGTTGCCTGATTTTCATACCTAATGCTATAATGTAAATTTCTTTTTTGTTATCCAAAATAGAAGAAAGAAAAAGTGTTTTTACTTTTGCATGTTGGTATGGCTTGGGACCTCTTAATACTACTAGAGTACTAGTTACTAGTAGTCAACTTGGCCTTTTGCCTTTTTGCTTTGGTGATTGCACAAACTTTTTTTTTTTAAACTTTTTACTTTTCCATTTTTTTGTGGTTTGATGTGAAGTGAATGTTATCAGTATACATTTGAAAATTGTGTACAAATCTTTCTTTTATACTTGTACACCTTTATTTTATTAATACAAATCTTACATTACCTTTCAGAAAAAAAGGAAAATTGTGTACAGGCCAGATGATGTGGGAACCTTCATCTACAAGATAAAACAGGATGTAGAAAGAAACAAGATGAGTGCTTCATGAATCACAATCTTCTCAAGATGCCTTCAGAATTTCTCTGTTTTGTTCTTTCCAGATACACCACAAAACCACTAAAAAAGTAATCCTCCATAAAATATTGGAGAAACTGAGAATACCTGAAAGTAGTTTAGCTAGAGCTCTCCAATTCATCCTGAAAATGAAAGGAAAATATCGGAGAAACTGAGAAACTACTTCTGACGTTTTTATGAAGCATCTTTTTAACTATGCACTATCTTAATGTTCATGTACTTTTTTTCAATTTGCAGTACTTATTGCTATCTTGTTATACTAATATGCCTGCAATGGTGCCTACCTACTGAAATTTATGGGACATGCATATCCATCTTATAACATACATCTCGAACATTTCTGTCTCTTACAAGGAGAAAGAAAGTGTACCTTTTGCTCTTGGAAGAAGCATAAATAAGCGATTGGTATAAAATAAGTACTATGTTGTTGAGGTTAAACTTGACGAAATATTTGGTAGTTTTGTTATGTTGTTTTATTGGTTTAGGGGTTTCCCTTGATGTAGTTTTTTAGGGTGAAACCTCTTCACATGTTTGTAATCTATTCTTTTTTTCTTTTAATGAGTTTTGTTAAGAGTTGTTCTGCATGTCTTCTCCTTGGGCTCTTTGTGTGTGTTCATTTGTGTTTGTATTGGTTAATTACCAATAAGCATGACCATGTTTTTGATGGTTTTGTTATGGTGTTTCATGGTGTTGGGGTTTCTCTTGATTTTAGCGTTTTGAGGTGAAATATCTTCACCTGTTGGTAACCTTTTTTCTTTTAATGAATTTTGTTAAGAGTTATTCTGTATGTCCTCTCCTTGAGCTCTTTGTGTGTGTTCATTTGTGTCTGTATTGGTTAGTTACCGATAAGCATGATCATAATTTTGATTTATAGTAATAATTTGGTAGTTTTGTTATGTTGTTTCGTTAGTGTTGGGGTTTTCTAGATGTAGTGTTTTGGGGTGAAATCTCTTCATCTGTTTGTAACCTTTTTCCTTTTAACGAGTTTTGTTACTAGTTGTTCTGCATGTCTTCCCCTTGAGTTCTTTGTGTGTGTTCATTTGTCTCTGTATTGGTTAATTACCAATAGACACGTTCACATTTTTGATTTATAGTACTAATGGTTATCTTTAAATGTTTAATAATATTAATATGTATTTTTGAAGCCACATGCAACAGTTGCTTGGGAAAGGCACACTTGTTATCTCTTTTCATGCTTTGTGCATTTATTTTTATATCTTTTCTAATTATTTATGGTTTTTGTATCAGAGGTCAGGCTATGAAGTGTTCTTGCTAGAAGCTACATACAAGGATCCCATGGTGAGTTTCAGTTGCCATCATGTCATGTTGTTGTTATTTTGTCTTCATTATTTCTGTATCGCAATGTATGACCTTGAACTATTCTCTAGTGATTGTAATTAATTTAAAAATTATTATTTTATTTTTTATCAATTATTTTCAATCTTGGTCCGTTGTTTGATAGTGGCCTGAAGTCTAATGAAGAATGCCATGTTTTGCTTTGCAAAACTTGGTTAATAAAATAAAAGTGAAAAAAATGCATACACGCATGAACTGAGTTACTGCTTTTTTTGCTCAATAATAGCAAATACTTGTATCAGTTTTTGCTCATTAATTTAATAAAATGAATTACTTATAAAAAAGAGATAGAAATAAGTGTACAACAAAAGAATTACAGAAGTAAATGTCAGTCAATGAGAGATAAAATCTCTAATCTCTCCCCCAAGTGTTCCCACATTTACAAGAGTGCCCAGAACATAGATTCTCTCCCAACTCCTTGTTTGGCTAAAACATCAGCAAATGAGTTGGCACAATGTTTAATCCAATTGAAGGAAATTTCCATATCTCTTGTCAACCACCTGACTTTCTTCTTTTCATTACTGTATATCCAAAGCTTTGAATCCTTTCCTTGTAACCAGCTTACTACCAGTTTGGAATCTCTGTCAATGACCAGCTTCCTAATGTTCAAATCTTTTGCTCTTTGAACACCTTCCAACAGAGCCAACACTTCTGCTCTAAGAGAGTCTCTCTTCCCTGCTGGTCCTGAGAAAAGAGATAGAATCTTGCCCCCCTCATGTCTGAAAACCCCACCAATACTAGAAATACCTGGGTTTCTCATGCTGGTGCCATCAAAATTAAGTTTAATGAACCCTCTTTCCAGAGTGGACCAATGGTAATTGGAGATGGACTTAGTTGAGCAGGATTCAGCCTCTTCCTTCCACTTTCTTAAGAACTTATTTGGGACTCATGAAGTCTATTGAGTTTTGTTAATCCTCAGTCCATGGGCATATCTTGGTGGTTGGACATGAGGTCAGAGCCCATGGTAATGGGCTGGCCTGTCAGCTAAGCCGTGCTTATCTGATAACCCAATGTCCAGCACATTTTAGGCCTGTATTTGAAGTTCTAAATGGAGGTAAAAATCTGTACTGCAACTGGACTTCTTTACCCAACTATAGATTCTATTTCTGCATCTTTTTTGTATTGCCTCTTAAGCTGTTGTATTGTCCTTTTTAATGGCCTCTCTTCTTGAGTCAATAATGCTGTCATTTTATACTTATCTATTAGTGTGAGGTGTATTAAGTACAATGTGAATCTCCTTTCTGGAATATAGGGCTGTGCGGCTAGGAATGTACATGGTTTCACCGCATATGACATACAAAAAATGGCAGATCGATGGGAAGAAGCTCCACCTTTATATTTACAACTTGACATCCAGGTTTGTCACAGTTCTATTGTTCTGATACTCAAACATGGGGAAAGCACTGCATTCTTACTTTAGATGTCTCTTTTTTGTTAACTACGATAAAAATGTAATTTGTGTGTAATTAACTTCTAATACATTTTCTCCCATTATATGACAGTCATTATTCCATGGGGATGATCTTAATGAGAGTGGCATCCAAGAGGTAACTTAATTTGATGTTACAGTTACCTATTTGTTATTTCATTATAGTTCAATGTGACTGAATTGGCTCATTCTAGCTGGATCAGTAACTTTGGTAATTCTATTTGGATGAGGAAGTACAAAATGTACTCTGTTGCTACCAGTTTGTTCTTTTCACTAATGTAGTTGGTATGCATGACTTGAATAAGTAGGACGAAACCATTCATAATCCAGTATGTTCTTGTCCCTTGCTTGGCTATGAGCTAGAGCATTTGCTGATCTCCCCACCCACTGTACTCCCACAGGCATATTTCGTGTCAGCCGTTTAAATTTCTTGATTTCATTCTTGGACCATCATACAGCTTGCTCTGGGTTCTTCAGCCACCCTACCACCACCTTGGAATCCACTTCGATTAAAAGTTTGTACACCTTATTGATTTGCAAACTGCACCCCTTGTAAGGCAGCTAATACTTCTGCCCTACTAGAGTCCCCAAACCCCACAGGACCTGAGAAAAAGATTACGACCTCTCCTAGTTCATTTCTCAAGGGACTTCCTGCTCTAGAAGAACCTGGATTGCCTTGACTGCTCCCATCAAAGTTTAGTTTCAAAGATCCTCCAGGAGGGGGTACGGGTACCCTGTACCCTATCCAACTTGTGAATACCCTATTTTTTGTAGATGAGCATCTAACTACTACTGGCCAACTTCTTCAAATATCAGTAAAAGAAAATTTGTGTAAAGTCTTTAACCAAAGTATTACCCTATTCAGCACACTTCTTTATCTCTTGACTGCTTGTCTCCTTTTGTGAGATGATTCTTGCATTTCTTTCTTCCGACATTTTCCTAATCAAGGCTTCCCTTGCACATCTCCACATAATCCTTCCAATTCTTTTAGTCAAGGAGAGAAAAGAAGTCTTTAACCAAAGTGGTAAATTCTATTGTTTTAGGTGCATGTATGGTATTTATGGATTAAATCAAGGTAAAATCACTTTCCTATATATCTCTCTCTCTCTCTATATATCCTTTTAGTATATGTAATATTTATTTTTTTGACAAGTTTGTAAAAAAATAGAAATAATCTTATGATTTATGATATCATTACAGTTTGTAAGACATTGTGTCTAGGAAATTAGAAACAAGCTCAGATTGTTTGGAATCTGGTTATATATTAGTTTATGAAGGGAGAAAACACCAGTATATTTTTAAAGGAAAAAATTCTGAGCCAATATTGTTGAAGGTGAAGAGTTTGATGTATTTTTGGGCTCCATTTTTTGTGGAGCTTGATGGGCCGGATTCTCCATTTTATGCAATGATTGGCAGAAAACAATTTTCGGTTCCCCTACTGTTGTGTAATTGTATATTTATTTTTTTGACAAGTTTGTGAAAAAATAGAAATGATTTTTGTTTTTCAATATAGGGATATAATAACATTTTAAAAAAAGAATTACTTGGAAAAATGTGCTGCATGACTAGCTATACTCTATTAGAGGGGACAAGTTCTTACAAAGAAACACTAACTTGCTTCGTAGCTTGTCTCTACCGAACTCAAACTCAAGGACTAATTGGGCTTGGCTACATGAACACAAATCTTGTTCTGCCATTGCACTCTCTATATTGCCATATCCTCAGCCGCCAATCAAGAAACAGAGCTTTTTGTTGGGGGGCATTCAGTAATGGAAAAGGAAATATGTTTGCAATAGGGAAGGTGTTTCAACCAGGGCAGAATTGAATGATGTACTACAAGGGTTAAGAAGGGCAAAATTATAGAACTACAGGAACCTCATCCTTGAAGGTGGTTCACATATCAGTACAAGGTGGCTGGAAAGAAATCAGGACTGGTCTTGGATGTACAGACACGATCTTAGGGAATAGGGAGATTAAAGAGCTAATGAGGTAGATAAGAGTACGCATCAAATTGGTATCTCAGTCTGCAAACCTTAGCAGGTGGTCTGGCCAAGGGGCAACAAAAAACCAGATTTTGTGGGGTGTCATACCCCACAGGGGGGAATTGTAAATGAGGCTTTATAGGTGGTTAATGGAGGCGACATTAAAGGCAACCAGCATTGCACAATTTATACAGCTTATTAATATTATTCATTATCAATAAAATTTTAAACAGATACTAATTAAAAAAGCAGAGCTATGTCCTTGACCATATTATAGGCTTTAGATTCCCTTCCTCAACCCATGTCCTCTTTGGCCTTTTCTTGCTTTTTACTGTCTTCTATTTGCACCAAACAATTCCTCAGTGTTGCAGTTATGGGTTTGCTTTGCACATGGCTAGATCATCTCAATTACTTTCTCTCATCTTGTCATATATTTTACATGGATTAGCTTACAGTGAAAGTTAGTCCTGCAGGTGATCCTGCATAATAATAAGTTTTAGAAATCTCATGGCAGTATCTATGTTTCATGGTAAATACATCGTTTTAAAATTGGAGTCAATAACAAATGTATTGTCTGTGTTAAATAAAAACTTAGTTGTTTTTCTCCTTAGCAAATTCTAACATTCCATTCCAGGTGGACATGGATACGGAAGAAGTGCCTTGTGATGAAGGTCTAACTGGGTTGCAGCAAAGAGAATTTCAGAAGATCATAGAGTCAAGTGGAGTTGATCGTGGACCTGATGGTACAATTTATGTTCAATCTGGATTTTTTCCATATATTTAACAAATCAAATGTCCTTTTCTTTAGATACTATACTCTTTTCTTGTGAGCTAAGTAGCATGCTGCTCATTATCTGAGGTTGTCATATGGAATATGTATTTTTATGCAACTCTTATAACAGCCTACCTTTTGCATCAGAAACACTTACTCTTTTTGTCTTTTAAGGTAGTGAATTAACAAGAAAAATAAAAGTTTCTATAAATTAAACATAATATTATTAAAAATTAATTGAATAAGGAATAACTCTAATCAAGAGTGATTATTTCCGTTATATAATCATATGACCTGACTGTTATCCTCTTTTGGCAATCTTAAGAATGTAACTGTCCAAAGATGAGTAAGTATTTGAAATATGATGAGTATAGCCTAGAGTAACAAAATGTTGGGTATACATTTGAGATTTGTTAGATTTTACATAACCATGAATATCCATTCTTATGATAATCTTTTAATGCATTGCATATTTAATGGTTTTGATGAATATTTTCTCCTTTGTGGTTCATGTGTTTAATTCATGTTTCCTTTTCACTCACAATTTTCCTTCCAACTATTCACAAAGCAAATAAATAAATAAAGTTAAAAGAAAGAAGGAAAGATAAGAGAGAATTTCTTGTTCTTAATCCCTGAGAGTTGGGGGCTGATGTTTGTTTCTGGGTTACACTGTTACACGGGGCCAAATTTGTATGAAAATTTTGTTATGCATGAATCCTTTTTCTTTTTTGGGGTCGAAGTTAGGCATGATTCTATGTCATATGCTTGTAGCATGTGGATATGCTTCATGTGCCACATTTGCTTCAAGCGAAACTCTAATTAAATTTCTAAAATACTAGGATTTCAAGTATTATAGAATATGTGATCAACCTTCCACCAAGCAACATCACCTTCCAGTCTGCAAATGCAACACCTTCTTAATTCTGCATTCTAACCACAAAAAAGCCTCTTGATATTCTACTGATATAGGTATGCATTGTGAACCATTCCATATAGTTTTATTTTTCTGTACTTACTGTGTTCTTTTATGTTTCTATCATGATATTGTTTAGGTCTTTTGAAGGATGGAGAGAGGTGGGCTGAAGGAGATGATCCAATAGAAGTAAAAGAACTAGGAAGGAGTAAATGGTCAGATGATGTGGATGAGGATGATACTGAGAAGTCAGAGGGTCCTAAAGGCAATTCAAATGCACTTTCTGGGTTGATTCAAGCATATGGAAAGGGAGACAAGTCTGTTCACTGGGGTGACCAGGCATGTATTACCATTCCACACTTGATATTCATACAATGCCTTGTATGTCTGCCTACACAAACGTTTTAGTTTAGGGTGCGGGCTTTTAACACAAGCTCTGCAAGGCCCAAATGAAATAGCATTTTTAGTTTTTAATGGGCTGGGCTTCTGTGTAAACTCATCTTTATTGCAATAAAGCCATGCTTCGGACAGCAACCTTATTATTGCAATTTATTTGCTACAAAAATATTATTATAATTTACTTGCTGCTACCATTGTTTTTCTTTTTCAGGCTGGAAAGGCAGGCTTTTCAATAGGCGCAACAAAAAAGTTATCTTTAGTAATTGGGCCTGGTGCCGGCTACAACTTGGTCAGTTATCCAGCTTTTTTCCCTCTTGTTTTAGTGCAATCAGCTTATTTTGCAAGTTCTGTTTCTTTCTTTCTTTCTTTTTTTCAAGTTTCTTACTAACAAGTAACAACTTGACCGGTCTGAGATGATATACATATGAGAGGGCTTACACTGAGATTTTTCCATCCCCTTTCCCAACCCAAAATGTGCCCCTATCACTTTCTGGAACCCAGTCATAAGCTCTTTTCTTCTTTTTCTTTTGAAGAAAATATTTGTTTTGAAACTCAAAGCTTGGTTCTGGAGACTGTATGAATGTGTGTATTTTAAATGCTTATGTTACCTTCCTTTCTGGTTATAAGCTTACAACTAGATTATTTTTCCTCCAATTGCAGAAGTCAAACCCATTACTTGAAGAAGATGAGGCAAGTGCAAATGAATCAAGTAAGGAATCAAATAGGCGAAGCATGTTCCAAGAGCAACTTCGTGCAGAGCGTGAGTCCTTCCGAGCTGTGTTTGATAGAAGGCGACAGCGAATTGGTGGATTTGAAATGGAGGATGAATAGTAATGCTGACTAGTACCCGCCATGGAAGGTATATACATGTTATAATGCCGAGAAATTTAAGATTGGGTCATTGGGAGAGGTAATGAATGTGTTATTATCGGCTAGGCTTCTTTCCATCAGCCAATGCTTGTACAGATGGAGATATGCCTCTTCTTGCTGAACCCCCGCCAGTTTGTTGGGATATTTGGAGTGAGGTTATGAGTTATGACAAATAATTGTTCCTTCCTAAGATTGTCATTGAAGCTGAATTCTCTAGAGCTGGTAAACTTGTTGAAGAATCCAAACTTGTGCTCCCTGTTGAGACTAGAGACTTCAAAGATCTGTAGAAAAGTTGCGGTCTTCCTAGAAGTTTTTTAGTCTTTAAATTTCTATTTTACCAACAGGTCCAGAGTCGCATACTGTATCATGCATGTGGTATGCTGCAATGAGTGTTGATGGTCTTTGTATTTTTCAAGTCCATGCTGATTGTAAAGGCGGTACCCCTGCTGACTTTCTCTTTTGCCATTTAATTAAAATTTCTCAAGTATCCTAAAAAAAGGATGGTCTGTTCCTGTTGGTCATACATATTCCTTTTTCACTTTTGGCTGTAAAATCTGTAATGCATTTTCTAGAAACTAAGATATTTCAGTCCTGAGCTTGTACTTGTAATGATTCTTGCTATGATGCCTCAGTAGACATTTTTCTCTACTGATGCCTCGGTGATGTATTATCCAGCATGGTTTAAAGTATCAAAATGAGACTCTGCCAATACGTATTTCTAATAAATTCCAATACATTATTTCTAGTAGCTGGCGTAAATTGTTTGCTTGTTCTTCCAATTAAATTGTTAAGAGGTTTGTCAATGGTTAGCCTGCATCGGTCTTGTTATCAGATTGTATGATTTTAAGCTTTAGCTATCTTAGTTTATTTGAGTCTTTATCATTTTTCAATGTTTCATGTTATTTCAGTAGTTCATATTTTACATAATTTTTTAAAATCAGTTTCTTATATGTTTATTTACATTATCAAATCTTTCAGATTTAGCGTTAACATTACATATGTAGGATTTATAAGAATTTCCTTAGCATATCCATCCATATCCTAATTATTGCATTTAACAGAGTATACATTGGCACATTTATGATATGTGAATTACTGCATACTCAGTTTGAAATATTGATTATTATACTACAAATGTAATTAAGCCATTTAATTCTTTTTAGCTCTAGCCATTCTTTTTCTTGGATGTGCAAAATATTTAAATGGATTTTATTATTATCAGAAAAATAAATCAACTTAATCTTAATTTCTTATATAACTTTTTAAGATTTATTAATGCATAAGCTAAAAGAGCTCATCCAATGACACTTAACATCCAATTCGGATTAGCTGAACACTTAACATCCAGTATTAAATCCATGGGCTCCACTGAAAAAGATGTGGATCCCATGTATTTAATACTGGCGTGAAACCTTAACATCCAATTCGGATTAGCTGAACATTTAACATCCAGTATTAAATTCAAGCGTTGCATTGCCCATAGACAATTCATGCTGTTGACTTGGACTGCCTCGTCTATTAGAGTAAACCATTTTTTTTTTTTTTTTGCTGTTTATCCAACTTGTCTTCTGTAGCACATATTCACAGCAATGAAATAAGAAAATTCTATGGATTCCTCTCACTGTGGAAATCGTTCTGTTGAAACTTGAATATTTATACATATATAGTGTGAAGAAAATGGTATCGAAGTTGGATCTGCTCTTCACACAACGCGCCTCACCGACCTCGGCACATAGATGCTCCCAATGCTCGGCTGAGGTCGGTATGAGGCACGCTGTGTGAGGAGCAGATCCGATCCAGTCTCAGTGTAGCATTGGGTGATCCCTGGTAAGTCTAGTCTGTAGCCTCTCTTGTCCAATAGTCAAGATGCGAATAGGGTAGTGACTAGTGAGTGCTACTCCAATAGGAAGGAGTTATCCGAATTGAGATGTGCTCTTCACAGAGCGCACACCTCACACCGACCTGGCAAGCCACATCCCACCAATAATAAATGAAGATGTTCCCGATGTGCGGCCAATACAGACTATGAGGTCAGTGTGAGGAGCAGATCCGGACTTGAGTTATCCACAGTCCGCACAGTGTATTTGTTAAACACCTCCGCCGGACCGTGGTCCATGTACATTGACTTCCCTTCATCCGCGGGCCCCATTCTCCCATCCCATCACAGAGCTTTAAAAATGAAGGAACCAGCTAAACAGTTCACCATCTCCAACTTCCAAAGTTACCAATGCTTAGTTATTCCGAGAGTGACCATATTGCCAATGATTCTGACTTCAATCAGGAGACTCAACTTGTATAACATGAGAGTAAACCATCTAGAACAATCTTTAAAATCTTATTTCTCCCTTTTCCGTGTAGACTGTCATCACTATACGATGTAAAATTCAACCGTACTAAAATCAATTTTTTATATAAAACTTACTCCAATCAAAATCAAACGCAGAGCCTAAAAAAAGTTGGCCTTCTGAGTATGTGATACATAAGTTATCTACCATTACCAAGGAAGAGGTGGAGAGGGAGAGCATCAAGCTCTTGTTCCTGACTAGACCAGAGAACTGTTTAGCTGATCTTGATAGCTGTATGACAGTCTTTCGGTCCAATCATTACGCTCCACGCCAGTCATAAATGGAAGAGAAAGATTGAGCAATGAGCGGTAGTGGGCCATAAACTGGCACGAGGCATTCATGGATTGTCCTGTGAGTCTGTGACTGTGTGAGAGAGAGAGGGCCCATGTTTATCTGAAGGTTCTCATATGAAACATAATTTCGAGTTGCCATTCGGTCTCTCTCTCAACTCTCCCACCGCTCCTGTCTCCCTTCAAGAAGCGGCAACTCTCTCTCTCTCTCTCTCTCTCACCAGTCACCACCGCTGCTGAGTTCAAAACGGCAACCAGTCGCCAACGCGGTGATACCTCTCAAGCCCTAACATAATCCGCCGAAGAGCCAATCTTTCCCTTTCATCACCGCCAAACAGAGAACTTACTTGAGTCGTCTTCAGGAGACGGGTATTCTTCCGTAAAGGCATCAAGGCCTCCAGGTTGTATTCCGCTCAGTCATTTGAGCTTAGTAACTTACAGCAGAAAACGAAAACCTGTTTCTGTCGTGTTCGCCGGTTTTCGCTTGCTTGTGTGGTAGGAGAGCCGCTAGCTGTGTGATGGCTGCGGCAGCTCGGTCAATTGCCGGGTTCACAGAGCCTGTCAAGTATGGTGTTTCGCTATCGCCAGTTTCAATCCGCCACTCCCTTGCCTCAGCTCGTTATGTGAGTATGTCTTCTGAATTCTGAATTTATCCACCTTACTACATTCTTTTTTGAATATGAAAAGGAAAGGAAAAAAGGTTCGCTACATAAATCATAAATGGATGTTATCGTGGAACAGGGGTACCGGATTTGCTCGCTGTCCATGAATGGATGCGAAGGAGACCCAAAAATCCCAATCGGAACTGTTGAGACCAGGACGTTTCCGGCGGTTGGAACACCAGCAATGGCTATGGACAGGCTCAACTGGGCAATCTCTGAGCTGAAATCAGATCCACCAGGTTTTAGTTCCGGAATTATCCGTCTTGAGGTAAATTTTACAGGTTGCAGTTGCACCTCTAAAGTCTATCGTCTTCATCGTAGTTGGTTCATTCATGGTGCCCAATGCCCAGGCGCAGGAGACTCTGTTTTTCAGCTAGTTGATAAGATAAAATAAAAAAATCTTGCTTAATGTTGGTCATAGCCCATAGCCCATAGCCCATAGCCCATAGCCATAGGTGATATCCATTTTTTTGTATAAAGACTAAATTCTCCCTGGAAATGATTGTTTAGTACCGTAGCCGGTCCATTTTTTTTTTATAAAACATTGTTGAGCTCGCTGGTGAGTGGTGGCTCGTGTCGAGATCAGATTGGCGCATGGGAACATCTAGGAAGTGTTCCCAATACACGGCAGAAACGCTGTGGAGCGCTGATGCGGAGTGCTGTGTCAGTCGACTGGACACCAAATCTGTGGCTCAGACTGTTCCACGTGGTTGATTTTTGACGGAACAGTTCTCTTAGCTACTGTTAAAGTAAGTAAGCAAGCCCACCTAGATCGATGAGATGGTCATCGTTCAGCGCAAATCCCAATTTTTAGTTAGGGAGGAATTAGTTCCAGTAGACTAGGTTTTGTTTTTGCAAATTTCAACCCTGTTCTCTGGTTCGGCTCAGGGTAGATCCGATAAAAGTAATGTGTAGAACCACTTCCGAACCGTATTCACGCATGGCACTACAATCGATGTGTGAGTGGGACCAACCATTTTACCCCCGGCCCCCGCTATTTGACTGAGTGATGGAGTGATTGAGTGAAACCTTTTTTTTTTTTTGGGTAGAAAAAATGTGATTGACTGATTGTGATTGTGAACCATAAATGTTGACTTCGAGCAAAATGATTGATCTCCTCACTCTCATAGCCCATAAACAGCAACAAGTTCATCTAATTTGTTCTTAGGACCAAAAAAAAAAAAATAAAAAATTACAGGACTAACTTTCAAGTGGTCCTTGTGTATAGGGCGATGAAAACAAAGAATTGAACTTGTAGCTTGGTAATCATGATTATGCAAGAGCAGTCATGTTGAATAAATCCTCAAATAGAATTCTTTGCCGTTCAATACACACCTCCTTCTATAGACATGGCTCCCACAGCCTATGGTGTCGGTTTGTCATCGTCTTGGGCTCCAAGATCGAAGCATTTTATAGAGAAAATTATTCAAATTTCTCCTGTACTTTTTCACATGGACTTGATTGCGAAAAGTTGTACGGCCCTGCCCCATAAGCTCCTTGGTTTCTGTTAACTCCTAAAAGTTGCAGGCGTGCTAACTGTATATACCAAAGAAAATGGGTGTGAAGACCAAGTAAATCTTTATGCCACGTCTCTAATCAAGATTTAAAATAGAGTTTCTCACTTGTGATGTTTGGGTCTGAAGGTGCCAATTCAACAACAAATTGAGGCCATTGGTTGGCTCTATGCTCAGCACCCACTTCCTCGTTGCTACTTCTCTGGTAGAAAACAGAGTAACCCTTTGGATTTTTTCTTGGATTTTACCAATGGAGATTGCCAAAACCCAAGGGGACACAAGTTGGTTAGCGTTGCTGGGGTGGGGTCCGCTGTCTTCTTCCAGCAGTTACATCCTTTTTCATTAGATGATTGGAAGTGTATAAAAAGGTAACATTTTTTAGACTAGACACTGCTATATGGCTTTGGTGATCTTATCCTAACACTATATATTCTTTTTTTCTTCCTTCAATCAAGGTTCCTCTCTAGAGATTGCCCTTTAATTCGTGCATATGGGGCTATCCGGTTTGATGCAAGGACCAAAATCTCATCCGAGTGGGAAGGTTTCGGTTCATTTTACTTCATGATTCCTCAGGTAGATAAGCTGTTTTCTACAGTAACACTTAACAGTCTATGATTATAGACATGTTTCTCTTTAGCATTTAAACAACATGGTTCAAGGCTAAATGACAGGTTGAGTTTGATGAACTTGAAGGAAGTTCTATGCTTGCTACCACCATTGCATGGGATGACACCCTTTTGTGGACTTGGGAAAATGCAGTAGGCATGGTTCAAGCTACAATGAGCCAGGTAAAAAATTTGATGATGAATGTGACTTCAATTTGTACAGTCTCATGTTGCCTGTTATCCTTTTACTCAACAATCTCTTTATTCCATTTTAATTTTAGCATAATTTTCATTATCACAGATCTCTTCCTTTGTTGCAAAGTTACAAAAGGAAGTTCCAAATGGATTCATCCTCAGCAACTATCATGTTCCTAGCAAGGCATCTTGGGATATTGCTGTTAACAGAGCTTTGCAGATGATAAATAGTGGTAAATCAGGACTGATTAAGGTATTCAAGATTTCAATCAAATCATCTTATGCTCCGTTAATTACCACAGTTTCTTTCTAGTTTTAACCCCACAGTTTAACGGCAAAACATTTATCCTCTGGCTAGTTGTAGCGGAGATTTGGGATCAAATCCCATTGCCACCACGGTTGGGGGTTATATAGGTATGGGGGATAGGCCACCCCCCATTGTGTAGCCCCCATGAAGCAAAAAAAAAGTCTCTTCATTAAATGGCTTCACAAGTTTCAAGACCATCGCTGCACAAGCCACAATTCAGTTTACAGTTTACACAACCCATAATGTTGAAACCTGGAAGGAATTTTTCTTTTCTTTTTTATTTTGTAGTTTCTTATGAGCTACCATCTCCAGTTCAATTTTTATTTCTCATCTTATACTTGTTCTGACACATCAAGGTTTTCGTGGAAATTTAGGTTGTACTTGCAAGGAGTAGCAGAATTGTTTCTACCATTGATATTGACCCTATAACATGGTTAGCTTGTTTGCAGGTATTCTTTTTTTGTTTTTTTTTGGCTATCATATTCAATAAACTCATGGCTGTGTATGATTCATCTTCAGATCAAATTATTGAGAATTTCAAATAAACATATGTAGGTTGAAGGACAAAATGCATATCAGTTCTGTATTCAGCCACCTGATGCACCAGCATTTATTGGAAACACTGTATGTGAAACCAAAATTTTGGAAACTTGTGCCCTGCTTTTTCTGCTTTCGCTAATGCTTCTTATAATCTGTTTCCACTTTTCCTTCGTATTGCACCTTCCACCAACCTTTTCTGATGAAACTTGTTATGCTAGAGTCTTCATGTAGTTGCATTGATATAGGTCAATGCAATTTAGAGTTGCTTATTTCTCAGACAGTAGAAAGTTGATTACAGTGAAAATTTCGAATCTAATGAAATGGGCAACTGATGCAACCAAAGGGAATCCAAAATTATAAGGATAAGTGTTCTACAGGATCTTTCCTTTTAAAGTACAGCACATACAAAAGCATAAGATGAAATTTCATGTTCCTATTGGTGTTGAAATAACTTCTTATTTGCTATTCTTCTCCATTACTATTGTATTAATGTAGGATATATCGAGAAGTTGACAAGTATAATGACTGCAAAGAGCTCAAGTGAAGAAATCTGATTAAGCAATAAGAGTAATGGTTGATCCCTATGATTGGCATCCTTGCCCTCTTATTATTAATCTCTTGCTAACGAGATGTTAAAAAGAAGTCCCTGAATATGCAACCTTGAATCTGTGGTGCTCACAAGTTGGTTAGCTGACTAGACAACTATTCTACTGATATACACTGAATAGATATATACACATCTATAAAGAAAAAAAGATTCCGTTTACCTAATTATTTGAAGTATTATGACCTAAAATAAAAGAAAATAAAAAAGAAATAAAGGAATTAATATATCCCAGCTTCTGTTGTTATCTTTTATGGACAACTTATGCCTAATAACAACCAGGTTGTTGAAAATTCTGTCCTTGAAGCTAGAGCATATATATCAATCATGGGCATTTTTTTTTTGCAAAATGGTGTTAGGTGGATGTTATGCACCTCCCTCTCATAATGAGAAAAATAAGCATAACCAAGGAAATTAGTTTTGTCAATCGGATTGAATCTATGTTAACTAAAGGCTAATGAATAAAGTGATTCAAATGAGAGTACAGTCCATGATTCTTTTGCTTATACATCAAACTTCATCAAGGATACCTATAATGTCTCAGTATCATATGCAATTTCTTCGTTGATTGTATTTATCATGTGATTTCTTCTAGTAGTATCTCTCTGTCCTAAATCACCATTTGGATAAATTTTTCCCTTATTTCATGTTTATCTGTCCATTTTTGGAACAATGTTATGAGAATTCCTACATTAGCTTAAGCTAATGTAGAAATATTTACTACATATGCCTCCTTTGTAATGCTATCTGATATCTGGTAGAAATTTTGTGGGGTGTGGCTATTAAGTTTCTGCCTTAGATGGAATTCCAATGGAAAGGCTGGAGTGAATACTGATTGTCCTTTATATTCTCCTGAAGAGTATCCAACAGAGAAAAAAACCTACCATCTGTCCATTTTGAGAAAAAGTTTATCAATTATGAGGCATGGCTTATTATAATAATAATTTACACACAGATGTAAGTGCTATGATCTAACTTCTTACTTAACTTTGTGATAGCCAGAGCAGCTATTTCACCGGAAGTGTCTTAGTGTCTGCAGTGAAGCTTTAGCTGGAACCCGTGGTAGGAGTGGATCAGAGGCTGTAGATCTTCAAATAGAACGTGACCTACTCTTCAGGTTTATTTTGAATTCAAGCATAATGGTTAAGTGGTATATATATATATATATATATCAATTTACTCTGTTGGCCTTATAAAGTGCAATTGTGCCCATTAAAATAGTGGAACAAAACCAGAAATTTGCCTGTTCATAAGGTTTGCACCTTGCCCTTTGAGGCTACACCTCATACTTGGGCGAGTATAACACCTCATTTCATCCTAAATGTCTTTAGACACTGGGAAGAGAGTTGCTTTTTATGATCATTATACAATCGGCTCTCTTACAATTGACTGGTGGTTTCTTTTTATTTCACAGCCCAAAGGACCATCTTGAGTTTACTATTGTGCGAGAGAACATTAAAAGAAATCTAGAGGCAAGTTAGCTATGAACATGCGGATTCTTCAATTTTTCCTTTTTTTATAATGATGCCAGAAATGTGGGGAATCTGGTATTTTTTGCTATATTCATGTTGTCATTTATCATCCGTTCAATTTTCATCTGCTAAATCTTTTTGAATGCTCATGTCCTGTTGTGCAGCTTATATGCAAGATGGTTTTAGTGGAACCAAAGAAAGCAATTCGAAAACTTCCACGTGTACAACATCTCTATGCACAATTGTCAGGCAGATTAAGAAGTGAAGATGATGAGGTAGTGTCAGACACTATACACATTCATAACTTTCAGATTTTGACATTGTCTTCCTTTCCTAGGGAGTGATGGGTTAAATAAGGTCCTGATATTTGGTCTTTCTTTTCCTAGTTTGACATCTTGAATTCTCTTCACCCCAGTCCAGCAGTCTGTGGATTTCCTACAGAACAGGCACGCCAATTTATAGCTGAAACTGGTATGTCTAGGCCATTGTGCCAGTTCTGTTTAGCTACAAATATACTAGGAAAAGAATATGTAATTTTTTTGTTCCTAGATAGCTTTGAAGATTGGAGATCATTTAGTTGTAGTGACTTCTAGAATGTGAACTTGTTGGGTGGTTGGGAGCATTGCATGCTCCTTATTCCATTTGCTATATCTTAGATATTACTTCTAAACAACTTAAATAGTTTTCTTTCATAAGAAAGAAAGTATTTCCTATAGCCCTCTTTTTCAAGCTGGTGCGTAACTGTTTATCTTGCTTAGCTTGTCTAAGATGCTTTCCAACTTATTTCCTCTAGGGATAACATTAATTGACCATACCTCCACTTTTCAACTAAGGTGTGTGGATTTCTTCCCTCTTAATGTCAAAGTCAACATTGATGTATAGAGCCTTCATTCTCTTATCAATATATTTGAAGATGCTTTAACAGTTAACATGACAATGCATGTCTGTTGATAGTCATCAATGAACATAGATCTCAATAAAAGAATATAAGGCTTGCTTGGTAGACCTGTTCACAGGGTGGGCTTTACCACTTATTAACAGAAAATGCCTAGGCCTGAGCCCAAGCCCGGCTTGATTATCAGGCCTATTCTTGAGCCTGAGCCCAGCCCTAATATAAAGCCCAAAGTGGCAAATCCCAAATCCTGATGTACGTTATGCAATATCTTAGTTCTATCTTCTAATTCCGTATTTTTTAACTTGTTCCAGTTACATATTTTGCACATAAAAAATATTGCTTTCCAAGATACAATTATACACCCAAGTTAAAAACACACACACAAAATACCAAAGACAAAATAGTAATACAAGTTTTATATATATATATATATTATTGGGCCAGGCTTATTTAAAAAGTCCAATCCCGGCCTGAAAAATAATCAGGCCTAACACTTACAGCCCGAGAACAAGCCAGCAGGCCTCAAAACAGGCCGAGCCAAGAAGCTTGCCGGGTTACCTGGACCTGGCCCATGAACAGGTCTACAACAGCCTTGGACAGATAAAAGAAGATATAGGACAACTCCCTATGGCTGAACCTCACACTGGATATATAGAAGATTACAGAAATGTCACTGGTGTCCAAAAAATAAAAGAAAGTTCAGGATTATAAACTAGACAAATAGATGGACTCTATCCATTTTTCCTAAACAAATAGATGCTACAATGCATCTATTCATTGTTTTCTTCCATTGTTCTCTTGTTCTTCTTTATTTGTGAGAGAAATCATCCTTAAGGCTATTCTACATTATTAAGTCTGTTGGCTGGTGCAAGCTTCCATAAAACATATGTAGAGGGAGTCATTTTATACCCTCCTAAACCAATAATTTCCTCTTTGTAACTTCCATGTCTAGGATGAACATAGTATCCATGAACCATATTGAGGTTGGGGTATGCAGTGTAATGCATGTGACTATCATGAAGGTTCAGTTTCACCTACCTCTTCAGGCAGGATTTGTCTAAGCAGGGATTATATGACTCTTAAGGTTCCTTAAATTTAGGAAGAGGATGATTTTTGGAAAGGGCATATTTAGATCTAATTAAATGCCTTTCAAAAAAAGATTATTTACATTTAACCAACTTTTCTCATTTATGTGTAGGGTGTATTGATTTTTTAATGTTGGATCAAATTAAAAGGTTGTACTTGTGCTCCTTTTTATGAGTGGGGATATTCGAGATCCATAAATACTGTTACAGTGATGCTATAGAGGCTAATGAGGATATACTATCAATTTTCTTTTTTTTTTTTCTTTTCTTTTTTTTGGTGGTGGGGGGGGGGGGGGGTCCTGGTCCCCTGATTCAGGCTCTGCTTCCATGGAATCACTTTGTGGAAGTACTATTAAAGGTTGTACGTTCTATAACAAGAATATTTGCAATTTGTTTTCAATGTAAAATGCAGCTTTTAATCATGATCAAAGGTTTAGGCACATATCAATCATTTAAAAAATATTAATTAGAAGGGACTTTAGGTATTTAGAACATGTTTTAAAGTTTCAGTTTGTGCACATGTTATGAATTTTTTACTTATTAGTTCCCATAGAAGCCAGAAGCCAAAAGGAGGTTTTAGCTTGTTCTTGGAGGGAAAAGGGCTTCAGCTTCAATAGAAACAGTTTCTTTATTGGCCTTCCCACTCTGGATAACCATATTTGTGGTTCCCAAGAGCAGTCTTACGTGCAGCCTAAGACTTGCATTAATTAAAGATCTGATGATGTCATTTGGTCTGAGTACTTGGGAATGCCTTTAGGCAAAAAATGTGTGTCAAAGAAGATTTGGGAGCTGGTAGTGAAGAAAAATGAAAGGAAACTGGCCTCTTGGAAAACAAGATACCTGTCAAAAGGAGGAAAACTGACACTACACACTAATCAAAAGTGTTTTGGCCTTTCTTCTGATTTATCTGCTCTCATTATTCCCAATTCAGGAAAGTGCATAAAAAGCAATTGAAAAGAGAATGAGAGACATCTTATGCAAGGATGGAAGGAAGGGTATAAGATCCATTTAGTCAAGTGGAGCAAGGTTTTCAGATCAAGGGAGGTTGGGGGCCTAGGGGTGAGAAAAATTAGAAAACTTAATGTGGCATGTTTGGGTAAATGGTACTGGAGATAGAATGAACAACCTAATATCCTGTGGAGAAGAACAATTTTGGCAACATATGGATCAAGCAATCTAAATTAGGATGCAGGAGAGACCAATATATCTTATGGATGTGTATGGAGAGGCATAAAGTTCTGGCACGACATTAAATATGAGGTTGGAGATGGAACGAGGATAAAGTTTGGCATGATATTAGGTGTGGAAACCACCCTCTAAAGGGGGTGTTCCCAACACTGTTTGAGATTGCACAGAACAAGGAGTGCATGATTTCATATTTATCAATAAAAAAAGGAGTGCATGATTTCAGAGGTTTTTTTTTTCACATGATAGAAGTTCAGGTGACTGGTCCACATTTAGAAGAAATTTGAATGATTGGCAAATAGGGCAGTGGATGGAGTTGATGCAAAGAATCAAAAAAGAATCAACACAATCCGACATGATAGTGCATGATCAGATAAAAGAATTTGGGTGGGGGAAAAATGAGGAATCTTCGCAGTTAAATTGCTTTATGTCAGGCTGAACTGTGAAGAGATGGAGATTTCCAGAGAAAAGAGTTTGAAGGAAAAACTGTACTTTTTATAGGTAAAAGCTTTAGGGTTGTTTGAGGAAAAAATATAATTTCCAAAGAATCTGAAGGTGGTCTTATGGGAAGTGATTCCGGCGGCAGTGATTTGGTCAATTTAGACAGAGAGAAATAGGAGACTTTTTGGAGTAAATATAGCACAGATGAGACAGTTTTGAAAAGTTTCTGGGGTAGAATGTACTCTTGGACATCAGTACACAAGCAGATAAAGGATATACCTTACAGTTCTTTGATTTTAGTAGTCTTTTTGTATCTATGTATACAGTATAATCAATACACAAAAGATTGGATGCTTGTTCCTGTGCAGTACCTTATTGAACAGGATTTTGTACATGTTTTGTTCAGATTAAATTCTTTTTGTATCTAGGTATAGAGTGTAATCAGTACACAAAGATTGGATGGTGGTCCCTGTGCAGTAACTTACTGAACAGGGCTTTGTACATGTTTTATTTCAGATTAATGCAATACTTTACATTTTCTCAAAAAAAAAAAATGTTGTCATTTGGTCAGATTCTCAGCCCATCTACTTAACTCAGGGATTTTACATGACTATTGCACTAAACACAATTCATGGGGAAATTCTGATTTTTAGGTTTTCCTTTCAGAAATTGCTGAACTCTTTAACCTTGTTTTCATTTCTAGCATTTTTAGGATTGGTTGAAGATATTTACTGTTCATATTGTATATCAATAATTTCAATAGATTTTTTTTTAATGAATAATGATTTCAATAGAATATTGTCTCTGTACTCAGTACTCATGCATCTTCATAAAGCACCAGCACGAGCATAATTTATAGGTGTATTTATACAATGTATTGGTGCAGAGCATTACTGATGATATCATAATGTTGTACAAGCTCCTGAGTGTACACTGTAATGAATAGTAGGACATACATAAATGACTATTTACTTGTATAACTGAATTGAACAATATCACTTCATCCTTATTTATCCACCAACTATAGTTATCTTATTCCGACTTGGTTCACTTCATCCTCATTTGACCACATCTAAAACAAGTTTTTGGAAACCAGTAATGACAGTGCATGCAACTTAATGTAAATCCATTATGCTGTGCTTCTCTTTTGTCTAATTTTGCAAATGAGTACGAACTTAAATGCCTCTTTTATTATTGTTCCTTGAGATAGTGTATAATTTTGATTAACAATGCCCTTTCCTTATCTGCAAACTTAGTTACAAATTGTTCATAATTTTGTTCAAAACTGGTAGAATGTGATTCTTACAGTGACCTCCTCAAGTGCTCAAGAAAGTACAGTTTCTTTAGTTAGATGGCTTATTTATCTGAGAACATTATACACACCTTGATATTCAACATGCTTATTATAGCCATATTTAAATGTTATATATTTTAGAAGCATTTTATCCGACCCCATATAGTTGGATTAAGGCTTGGGTGATGATAATGATGGTGATGATATTTTGGAAGCATTTTATTACAGATGATTGTCATGCAGTTACTTTATTCTCGAGGTGCCAATACTCTTTTTTTGCATGAAAATGGAACTGAGAATCATATTCTGGATGCTATCTTTGTAAATAAACTTCTAGTCATTTACTGCTGAGCATTTCTATATTCTGGTTGTTCAGAAATGTTTGATCGGGGAATGTATGCTGGCCCTGTTGGTTGGTTTGGAGGAAGAGAGTCTGAATTTGCAGTAGGAATTAGATCAGCCTTGGTGGAAAAGGTGAGATTGATATTACCTTGTTGAACATTACCTTACAAGGATATCTATATCACTGTACATTTCATCATATATTTTAATATTTACAAATAGACCTAATAAACTATTGTCAAAACTTGTTTTGAACAACTTTAAATTTAGGGTGTTGGAGCATTAGTTTATGCTGGTGCTGGTATAGTGGAAGGAACAAATTCATCTTTGGAGTGGGAAGAATTGGAACTCAAGACATCCCAGGTCTCTCTGTGTGTGTGTATGTGACAATTAGTTGTGCAGAAGAAGATTCAAGTATTTTAAATCAATCTTTTTCTCTCTCCCTCTCTTTTTTTTTTTTCAGTTCACCAAGTTGATAGAATGTGAAGTGCCTCTTTCTTGACACCAAGAACGGTTTTTCTAAGATTCCAACGGAAAAGGTTAGGGTTCTGAAATACAGATTTGTGATTTACAGCTTCGGTTTCAAAATTTAATATTTCTTTGTTCTTTGCTTGGACTAGTTATATGAGTTAGTAATTCACTTACCCTCTGTAGTGATATAATCTGTCCAGAAGACCAGCATAAGAAATTAATTTTACCTTTGCTGCATACTTCTCTCATTTCTTTTTCTTTTTCTTTTTTCTTTTTTTTTGGCAATTACAGACTGATCGGAACATGGTTATGCTGGTCTTGCAAAGGGGCCTTTACAGTAGTACTTCATGACCTGCCTTGGATATTGTTGATGTCCATTTTTTACAGAACATTTAAATATTAAGATAGTATGCTGATATCTTTGAGAATGTAAATCTTGGTACTTAACAAGAAAGGGAATTGAGAAGCGTTTCTGCTCTACACTGTTGCAGCGCTGAGAGAATTTACCTGTAAATATTTACAGTTGCTCTATAAAGAGTTTTGGTGTGTGGTGGTAGTAATTATCCTTCTAGAAAGGAGCATCAGAATCTTCATCAAAGAGGATGTCGCATGAGTTAATCAAGGTTAAACTATCTTTAGCAGCAGCTTCAGTAGAATATCTGCCTGCCAACCGGGAGTGAAGGATTGGAGATCTTTTCTAGCATATTAACTCGGTTTCAAGTAAATGAAACTGTTTTGAGTTGCTTTTCTTTGGTTTCCACATTTATTATTGGTTGATAAGGTTTTGTCATCTTACATTGAAATTCATTGTTTTGTAAACCGCCCATTGGATGCTCGTTTGCTTGAAGGAACAATTATTGAATAAATAAATAAATAGATCATATATTCTTCAGATGAAGCTTGATTTATACTTGTAATTCCAAATCCGTGTTTGCTTGCAACTGGGACGCCAATCCTTTTATTTAGAGTGAGAGGGAGAGAGAGAGATGAATTGAAATATAAACAAACCATATATGATAGTCACTCTCCTACATCCTCAATAATACAATCTGAAAATAAAATACTGTTCTGTATATATAATATATGCATATAATAGATCTCCCTCTCCATGATTTGTGCAATAAACAGTATACATTCCATTCATATGAATTAATGAAGGAATAGATGAAGAATAAATTAAGAAAAAAAGAAAATTAACAAGGTTTATTAATCTTGCAGCCGAGAGCACCCGAGAAGCGAGTAAGCGTACTTACGTAAGTGCCAGGCTTTGCAGGAATCATATCCTTCTTAGAGAATGGATGTTTTCTGCTAGGGTTGCCTGATTGTACGAAGAATGCTCCGTTCATCATCAGATCATCTTCTGATCTCCATGTCCAATGTTTCCATTCACTCTCCGGTGCATAATCCCTCTTGGTCACCTGCAGATACATACATGGCCGACCCACAGAGTAAACTAAAAAAGGGATTTATATATTTTGATCTATCTTCGTTCTTCACCACCTGTTAGCACCTGTTTGTTAATACTAGCTATATATGTAGATTTATTACCTCCTTGGCAGCCAAAGTGGGAGGAGCGATGAACCGGTTGCCCTGGCTGATGATGGTGGGGTGTTCGCTACCACCGATGGCATACATGATCCAGTGAGTGTAGTCATTGTTGACGACGTGGGCGAATCCCCATCGGCACCTCGGCATCCTCTGCACCAGTCCTCTCCCGAAGTGGTTGAACGCCACTGTTATTTGCATGACTGCATCCCCAGAATAGCTACCGCTTGCTCCAAACAACATCACCTGCACCATCGTCATATTCATCGTCGTTAGACATTCAGTTCAGACTTCAGACAGCTATACACGTACACAAATTCCAAGGGGTCGATGGATGCAATTTGTTTCAACTCTGATGGAATGAATACCTCGTTGTGGTGCGTGAAGTGACAGTTGGAGACGGTGACGGCGGTGGTGCTCATGATGGCGTCGATGAGTCCATCCTTGCAGTTGGACATGGAGATGTGATCAATCCAGACATTAGTGGCGCCAAAGAGGGAGATGCCATCGCCATCGCTTTGTGTCCTCAAACCGTAGTGGTCGACGGAGTCCCTGATGAGTCCACCGGACCCAGGGACTATGTCATGAACGTGGAGGCCATGAATGATAACGTTCTTAACGAACTGGATGGTGATGCCTGCGCCGTAGGCGACATGGACGTTAGCGCCTCTGGCGTCGATCGTCTTGTCGCCGGCCATGAGAAGCTCTTGGTTCAGCCTGATCACCATGTCACGTGCGAATATGATCCACAGTGGCTCCTTCTGGATCACGGCGTGTCGCAGTGTGCCGGGTTTTGGGTTCAGCATGTCGTTGTCGGAACCATCAGTGACCACGTAGAATTTCCCCAACTTTCCGCCGATGGTCTTCCGGCCAAAGCCCACGACGCAATCCGCCAACTTCTTGCGATTACGGGACCAGTTCTTCTGGCACCTCCAGCAGCGGTCGATGGGGTTGGTCGCCAAGCACGGTCCACCGTATGGCTTTGTTTTCAAGCTTCTCCTCGTGCCGTTGCTCTCCTGCATGGCCCTGCAGTAGTTGCACCACCACCACCACCACCACAAAAAAAGAAAAAGAAAAATAATAATAATCAAACTTCTTTTACAGATGCAAATCATAATAATCAAGAGTGATTCAACGACGATCAAGATCAACGATGCATGAAGATGAACATGAATATGATGATGGGGGTTGGGATTGAGGATTGATGATTGGGAAGAGAACCCACAAGTGGACATTCATATTTAAGTGATTGATGACTTCATCGGGATTAGGGTGATACGCATCCATTGCATTCTTCTTGGCTTCCTCCGCTCGTTTTTGCCACACTTCGTCGAATTCGGCGATGTGGGCTCGGAGCGTCGGAGTTATTACAGCAAGGTTGAAGGCCAACAAAAAAAGAGATAAAATTGCCTTAGTTGCACCCATCGTTTCGTTTCTGTTATCTCTCTGCTTATTTTCCGTCTGATCTAGCGATAGATGGTGGTGGCCAAGGTCTAGAGTTTAACGCTTATTTCTCACAGAAAAGACTAGACCTAGCCAAATCAGCCCAACCGATTGAACCCAATCAAATTACAAGACACTTAGCATGGTTCAATCGGATTGTTATTATTAAGGAGCTAGCTATAGCGAACTCATCCTGTGGAGAGGTGTTTAAATGGTGGCCAAAACAAGCTAAAACCAGGCAGGTGAGAGAGAGAGAGAGATGGGGCGTGAGATAAGGCCATCCACTTGACAACAACCGTATTAACGGTTGATTCTTTTTGTTTCTTCTTCTTTGTCTCTATTACTATTTTATTAGTAGATACTTCAGCGTGGAAAGGGTCAATTAATCTTTATTTTTCATTTATCAGGCTTCTGCGCTATTGTGGGCTCGACCGGTCTCTGGAAATGGTATATATTCCGTTTTTTTTTCCTGAACAGCAAAGGTTCATTCAAGTTAAGCCAATATAATACCAAGAAAATTAAGTAGTTTGAATTATTTTCCTATTAATTGAATATGGGCTTCATTTTTCTTCTTTCCTATTGCAATTATGGGTTAATCAAATTGCCTCAGTTGCCAGTTTCAAAATCAGCTCATCAAAACCATCTGATTTAAAAACAAATCGGTTCTTAAAATAAAAACAAATAAAGCATGTTCTTGGTTATATAGGTGATTTTAATTTTTTATTTCAAAACTGAAACCAAAAATGTGCTTTTGAATTAATTTCTAGTTTGAAGACACATTTTTTAAACAAAACTAATTTGTTTTTTGCTTTTTAAAACAGAAAACACACACAATTGAAAAATGTGTCTTTTTTATTTTTCTGCTGATGTGGCAATTTAAAAAAAAAAAAAAAAAAAACAATGAAAACCAAAATATTGATGTTTGTAAAATACAGGCCACAGAGACAAGTTGTGAATTTTTACTGTTTTCAAGCCAATGAGCAATAAACACCTTCCTGTGTTTATTCAATAAGAGTATGTTATTAAATCACATATTGGCAAGCTCAAGATTTTTGTGGGGAGCCAGCAATGCTCACGGTCAAAGGTACAGATGCAAATCTCTCCTCGTTATTAAGACTCTTGACCCCCACAAATTTAATTGACTTCTAAATGACTCCAACATACTGTAAATGGTTTGCATTTTCTGAGTCCATGCCAAAACATAAATACACTTCCCACTCTTGACCCCCACAACTTTTTATCCTTAATATCAATAAACAATAATATTTTTATATAATAATAAAAAAAAATAACTTTTTTGAGAAAATATCAAATAAGGATAGTGGGCACTGTTGCTCGTCTTCCTCCTAGAGACTCTGTATTCAGCGAATGAAACTTGAACGATGAGAGAAACCCAATAAAAAACAACTGTTAAGGAAATTTCTCGAGCTCGACCAACCAATTTTACCCAATAAATTTGCTTTAATTTATTGTGGCTGGTCTCAGACCAGTTTTGAATCTTGAGCCTGGAGTCTTGACTCCTGAACTACATCAACGTGGTTATTGAACCCGAACCAGATGGACATTTTTTCGGTGGAACAAACCAACTGGACTCGCTCAGTGAATAAATCTGTCAGAACCAGGTATTGCCATTTGCCACTCCCCTCTCCTGAACCTGGATGTTACCCTCTCTCATCCGCTATACTCAAATGCACTTGTGCTAGAGCCAGCAAGAGATAAGCTTGTCGAAGCTTGGAGTGGCTAATCATTCTCATCCGCTATACTCAGATACACGAGAACATGTATCTTGCTGGCAGAGAGGGGAGATTGGAACCTAGCAGGCTTAGTTGCAAAAGGTCGCTTTCTTGGTTGGCATGCAAGAGTTTTTGGCAGTGGTGATGGACAAAGACTTTGGAGGGAGAAGAAGAGCAGAGGGAATCGACGGTGCTTTGTATCAGATGTTAAGGACAAGAGGAATGACAAGCAGTTCACATGGCCGGCTTGTGTTGATTTTCATCTTGCCTTCAAAGGACAAAGGCTACATCCTTATCTTCCTTTTTAGTTCTCATTCCAGTATTGTCTGAATCGAATCTTCTGCCTTTCTTTAAATTTGTGTTGGGCTTTTTGATTCTTCAACGGGGTCTCATCTTCTTTCTGTTTTTATGGGTTTCTTTCGTTTCCTCCCCTCAACTTTGGTTCTCGGTTCTTCGGGTGTTTGCTTTACGGAGTTTATTGTACTTTAGAAACCTGTCTATTGGTGTGCGGAGAAAACCCACTGATTGCAATTGTTTTTCTTCTAGAAAACAGAAGCATTTGCTCAACCATACTGCAAATGTAACTACCATTCGTCATAGTCAATTCTCGCCCGTTGGAGGAAAGAATGAAGAAAAGATATCGGTTGATAATGCTACGAGTTTAAAATCAGAGAATTCTCGGAATTTGAAATACGAAGAGGTGGAAAAGATCGTGAAGGCTCCAAAAAGACCGTTCGCATGAACACAGAGGAGATGAGCAACAGTACCCAACGGACGAGATGACAGTCGGATTTTAAACTGGTCTGAGACGCTTTCTCGATGCCGGTGACCGATTATCAGCGACGCTTTCTCGATCGTTGGAGACGACAGTCGGAGGCGGCTGTCGGAGACGACAGTTGGAGACGTGCCGGAGGCGGCGGTGGCGGCTCTGATGAATCTAGATGAACAGTAATTTTTATTTTATTAAATTTATTCTTTTTATTGATATTAGAGCTTAAAAGTTGCCTTATATCTTTTATTCCAATCTGTAAATCTAAAAATCACATGAAAGTGCAAAGGTGTTAACTGGCTCATTAATTATTCATTTATGAATTACAGTTTCGAATATTGCAAAAACCCAAAGGACCGGTTCAGTTTAAAAAATATGCCAACCGAACCGTGAGCACCCACTGTACTACAAACATGCATGCTTGTCTGAAACAATGGAAATGAAGAATTTATAATAATATTTTTTTTCTTTTTCCAAAAATGTAATTACCTCATTGAATGCACAAATTGGTAAGCAAGAACAGACCGCATGGGCTCTATAGTCTATACACGTAAATTGTATAAGTAACAGAGTAATTTGGACTCGTAAATTACCTTACAGTGATTCAGTAGAGTAACAAAGTAATTTGGGCTTGAGTATTCAGTCACCGACTAGTCTGAACTTTTTTTGCTTTTTCACCTTTTGGGGAGTTTAAGCTCTCTGTGCAGCCTCCTCGGAATGTATCCACGAATTTGTCAGATTAACCAGCGCTTAGTTTCCCAGAGTTGCCATATATATAGGCAAGAATTAGCGAGTATGACATAACTTGTAGAAAGCAAGCAGGAGCAAATATATATATAATTGCCCACTTGCCCATTAATTCTTATTTTTGTTTCCAAACGAAGAAAATAACATTTCTAGTAGAAACTTATTCTCTTATATGGAAGAAAGATGGCACTAATAATGCTTTATTCTTGAAGAATGCTTCCACAAATTTTACACTGTAAAGATAATGCGATCAATATTCTCATTTTACAGCTCTGAATCCTTGCAACTTCCACCTTATTTTACACTTTATAGGTATTTTTAGGAACCAAATTGGTCCTTTACATAAAGCTGATTTACTTTAATCCCCTTATTAACTCAGTAGTAGTTGTGGGATATTGAGGTTGACACAGGCCACACACCCATATCACCATTAGGCATCCTCCTCTGATGTAGCTTCAGCTCGTTTTGTGGATAATATTAATGATATTCAAAGTGGAAGCATTCCATGGATCAAAACATACTGCATGGAATACAGAAAATGCCATAGTGTTATCACGAATTCACGATGCTTCCCAAACCTTGTAATCTCTCCCTTCAACAGCCAAAACCCATCTCCCGGAAGCACCGGGAGGCTCGTAATAGCCAGGTCCAATCTTCATAGCTACCTTTTCATCAATAACGGCTGCATATACTTCTCGCTCTGCTTTGGTTATTTGAACCTGAATCATTCATCAGACAAGAACAATAAACCATGACCTTCAAAGCAGGTAGACAACTAGACAGCACCTCAATTTCAGAAAATGGTATAATCCGCACTGAAATAGAAGGAACTGTTTTCCCTCCCTGTGCGGTAGCATCATATACACCCAGGGTGGGTCGAATTTTCATTTGGGTCCATAAATAATCACTTGGATCATATTCTACATGTTAGAGGCAAGAAGAACAACTCTGCCTGTCCATCCATCCCTAGGTGTATAATCATAAACATTGCAAAAACTCACCATAGTGAACAACATCGACAATGAAAACGGGAAAAAATAAATGAAATTCCAAGATGATTATAAGATGAATGATGAAGAGAATCAAGATTTTTTTTTGTTGAATACAGATCCTTGAGGAAATTGAATCATGTTCACAGTACAAGCAGATCCAGCTCGCAGCAAGAAGTCTAGAAATGGCAGATAAAACTGTATTGGTTTGAGTTCGTTAGGCAAAAGCCAAATAGTGGTTTTTGAATTCTCAACATACTCGATTCTACTTGGTTGGTTCTTAAGGTGGATTCTATTAATATTGGCAATAAATGGAAAAGCACCAATTCCCAGATCTTATAGGTAATAAATGTTCACGTAGCCCCTTGAAGTTGAACTAAATTTTGCGAAGGAAGGTCAACACAGCAACAAAAGATGTAGTGCCTCCTTTCTTCTATTAACTACATGGACTTATATTCAATTGTTATATTTTAATGCTTACAAAAGAAAGGTTATATTTTAACTACATGGACTTATATTCAAGGTGGATTCTACTTGATGCACGGGTTTTATTTATAAGCAAAATTGAAGATGGATCTCTATGACATTTCCAATTAAGTGGTGTCCATCTAAGTTCAATTCAAGTATTATTTTTTGGGGTTATGTCTAGTTTAGCCAATCACAATTTAAATTGCACTTTAGTGAGAATGACCAATTTCCTATTCTCTAGATAAATTTGAAAAAAACTTTTTTTATTAATTTTTATTGGTTTATTATTATTCTTGTATTATTTCTAGGTAAGTTTATAAAAAAGCATCCACTTAAAACAATTCTATAAACCACCCTTGTGTTTTGACCCAAACAAAGGCCTCTTATAGTTTTGAGAAAAAAGTGCAAATAGACATTGAAGTCTTATCATTGTTAATGCATTATCATACATAATTTAAAGTTTCAACCTTACCCTTTACTAATTTATTTTTCCAGATGACTTTCAAAGAATAATTCTCTTTACTCTTCTTGGGCAAAATAAGGTAAAAAGGCTGAAGTGAAGTAGAATTAATGCATTACATCAACATTTTTTATTTGGAATGCTAACGAAAAGAAGGCATTTGCATATTTTTTTCAAAACAATAGGGGAGGTTTTGTTAAGGTCAAAAAACTGGGGAGCTTCATAGGATTGTTAGAAAACCCAAAGAGGTTTTTATAATTTTCCTTATTTTTAGTATAAATTGAATTTATTTAAGTATATTAATTTTTTATTAAATTTAAATTCCTTATGACATTTATATAAATTTTATTTTTAATTGTTTGATAATTTTGTATTAGTTTTATATTAATTTTAAATTGATATTAGTTTTTTATTTATCTTATTCATTTTATTAATTAAATTATTTTTATTATATTAATAAAAAATATTTTTATCAACAACAATAATTAATAATTATTTTTATTTTATTTAAGTAACTTACTAAGTTATTTTTATTATCGTTGATTAATTTTTATTATTTTCAAATGGAATATAAATGGATTATAATTTTGAACGGAAGTAAATTATTTAGCGTAATAATATATCTTTGAATCTCAATTTCAATATAATTAATCTTTACTAATAATTACAGTTTAATGCAATAATATATCTTTGAATCTCAATTTCAATATAATTAATCTTTACTAATATATATATATATATATATATATATATATATATAATGGAAAAGACTTAATGGAAAAGATGAGAGAGAGAGAGTTAATGATGTATTAATGATTGTTAAAAGTCTTAAAGGTGATTGGTCACTTGAATTATTTTGTTCAATTTTAAAATTATAAAATTCAATAAAAAACAGAAAAAAAGTAAATGACTTTGAGAAGAAACCTGGAAGCAGGGAAAGTGCCAGCTTGGCACATTGCCTTTTAGTATATATATATATATAGATGTATCATCTGAAGTTCTGAACAGGTCTGTCTTAACCAACAAACCCAGCATGCACAGCCCACTTTTTATCTCCCCCCACTTCTAGGAAAAAGAAAATATGTTCACAAGTAAAACTAAAATAATAATAATAATAATAATAATAATAATTTTGGAAAGTGAATGGGATCTAGGGTACATACAGCACTCCTGCAGGTAATCTTAGTACGGTGTCTTAGTGAGATTAGCGCTGAAATTTCTGACTGATAGTGAGAGAAAATGTGGTCATAGAAGACTGCTGGTGTTCCTGGGTGAGTCAGGATGTAGGCGTACCCTTGCATCTCCTTTCCACTTGGGAATCTCCAATGACCCTTCAGAATAAACAGAATGCCAAGTTAGCGAATCTTTTCAATATAAACTAGTGATAATGGTCTTCCATACCTTAATAGACATCCTTTGAGGAATCCCAAAAGTGAAATAAAAAAATAGTATATTCAGTTCTTAACAATAAAATAAACAGATGGGGCCATGTCAACACATCTAACTTCTGTTCAACAACTCCTGCATCCGGGTTCCTGCCTGCAGTTTAGGCCTCCATCTTACAAGGATTAAATAAACCAGTTGTCATGGGGCAGTTGTATACAGGGGTTGACCTCTGTTTTAGATGGAATAAAATTATCTGCCCTTAATGACACGCCATATATAGCCAATGCATTAATCATGACAATTTAATAGGAAAAATAGTAATACAGCAAAAACTTTCCCAACTAAAGAGAAAGTGGTTTTAATTTTTGACACTAAGATGATTGATAAAATCAACCTCAAATAGTCAAATAGTTACGGTAGTCCAAAACTTTTGTAGTTTTTAGACTATTACCTGTTTTTCAGGTGACAAACAATTGTAAACAGGAGCAACCTATGGATTAAACATGTTACGATATAGAAATGGAGAAAGAAAACTTGTTTCCTTAATTATTTTCCTTCAGTGGAACATTACATGTTTCTGAGATGTTTAACCTGGAAACTAATAACTAAATAAGAAAGTTGTAGTCCATAAAATAAGCATCATCTTGTCAGGATATACAAATTTCATATCTAACCTCTTGGTTTTGAAATGTTTACACAGAAATGCTTATTTTTCTAAACCAAAGAGTACTCCTTGCAGGAATGAAACCAAGGGAGGCTGAGAGAGACCATGGCTCCTGCAATTATTTATTTATTTTGTAAAAAACCAATTTAGGCTTATGATATATAAGGTGGGTTCCATGAAGGCTCTATATTTTTCTATTAACTGGCATCCCCAAGGACAGTTTTCTGAGTTGGCATCTGGCCCATTGGTTCTTAAGTGCACTATAATAATGCTCCTATCCTGATAGGAAAGATGACATGAAACAGAAAATTTGGGAAATACTGTGAAATAATGGAAGGATGCATAAACTTGGGGGAATACAAAAGTATAGAAACAGTCCAAACCTGAGTAGAACCTGTATCATGATTCTCTATAAAGGTAACAGCACGTGATGGCCACCACCCAATAACCCCAGGCGGTTTTCCCTTTTGATCTGACAACCTCCAATACTCGCATCTTTCAAGAGCCTATTTTGAAGAATTTACATATCATAAGAATATCGTGATGCTTTTATTACAAAATAAAGAATATTATAATCTCAATTTCCATCATATGAAAAGGCTATACACAGGCAAAATTAACATAAATAATCAATGATAAGCCGCCTTACCAGTTGTACTCCCATCATGCATAATTGGACACAGAGAGATCATTGAAGTATTACAATTGAAGGACAAAAGTATAAGGAAACCCTTCCAGTTTAAAATCTGATGTTAGAAAAGTGAAGATAAGGGTGTTGGTAGAATAATTAGAACCTTTGCAAAGCTTTTTGGGAGCTCTTTGACAGCAGTTGTACAGGGATATTCGAGCAGAAACAGTGCTTAGGCTACAGAAAGTGAAAGTGGAACTGGAATTGACTAATATACTTGGTCATGTTAGAACATAAAGAGAATCTTTGACATATTGTGGATGAATAATCTTAGGAATGGGGATGAGTCAATTACTATCTTATCAATTGTTATGGTGAACAAAGATTCAAGTAATTTACTAGTGAATTGTCCATAGCATAAGAGAAAAATTGCATAAACAATTCAGGAAGACATCTAACTACAGTCTTACAGAATGAAGGATTCCTTTTGTAGTGACATCAAATGCCCCAGCAGTTCCATTAGTGGCATTAATCCAGTCAATAATCCTCTGCCTGTGTGCATCTTGATTGTGATCCATTTGACCATATGTATAACTGAGAGAATCCCAATATTCACCTACTGCAAAGTAGGGTTGAGTTGCTTCCAAGTAATCCTTGACATAACCACCCCAGAACCCACGTACAAAATCAAGTCTCCATCCATCATACCCAATTTCTTCCCTACATGCCATGTTTCAGCAGAAACCATATTATAATGCTTTCAAAAACCATTTATCATAGGACACAAAGGAGGAATGGACTTAAATAAGAACATCTTAACTGAACATGAAGTGTTCGACTTTAAATGTACAATGCAAATTATTTTTGAGAAAAGGAGGAATGGACTTTAAATGAAGAATGAAAATGAAAATTCTACATCAGGAAGAGTAAAAGAAAAGCAAAAGCATTGGAATTTGTTGCCTAAAATAGTATTTTTCTCTTCTTCTTTTGTTACAATTTCAATAATAGATGGGTATATGCATTGCACTGTTATTTCGGATATTCGGATATTGCAAATATATGCAGCACAAACCAAGAATTTGTGCAACATAGTTCCAAAAAGTTAATTGAAGACCACCTCTAGGATAAGCAAACTTAGTAAATGATCAGAACAGATACTACACTTGATCTTATCCAAAAGGCCGAGAAAGGTATCAAATTTAGTAAATGACTACATCCATGTTTTGAGAACAACGTACAGTCAAGTCCAAGATCATCATGCTGATACTCAGCAAAGTGATGAGGATCTGTGTCATCGGAAAGACTGCTGTAGAATTCTGACTAGATCAAATTGAAACTATGTTTCTTTGATGTCCATGCAACTTACAACAACACTAATGCCTTTTTATCAGCAAGAAAAGATAAATTTTATTAATGAGAAGAAAATGAGTACAGAGTTACACTAATGCCTTTCTTTATTGTTCTTATATAAAATATCTATCTTTTGTTTTTATTTTTTAATTTTTTGTCTACTTTTAGGGGTCATTGCCTGGTGCAATGGTAAAATCTTGGGTTGATGAGATTGAGAGTAGGGTGCGTTTGAGTCCAAAAGCAGCCACTTCATGCAAGAATATGCCAAAGAGTATGTCTGTATCCAGTCCACCCCTCCTAAGACCCTGGATAGCTGGGACCAACATTGGGTAGTGGCCCTTTTTTGTCTATTAACCATTTAATAAGGTTCTTTTTTTATAACCATAAAGTTATAGGAGTAAAAGGGCCATTAACCATTAACCAACAACAGAGGCAGCTTTCTAGTGTCTCGGGAGGTATAGACTGGATAGGGACCTAACCTTTGGCATTTTTTTGCACAAAGTGGCTGCTCTTAGACTTAAACCCATGTTCTCAGTCTCATAAACATAATCTCAATATTTTTTCCAATGAACCTATCAATGGCTCCTACTCATAGAATTATAGGAGTCACAGTAAAAAAATTTTCTAAACTATGCATATCTCATATATATATACAACTTGTTGTATTTCCAAACACCTTTCCTACAACTTGTTGTCCCCATCCTATTATGCCTTTCTAGCCTCCATTTCCTCTCAATCCATCCCAAAGTCTATGTCAAAAGCCTTAGCCACACCAGATTGGACGGATGCTATGAGTACTGAAATAGAAGCCCTTCATAAAAACAATACCTGGGATATTGTTGACTTGCCAGCTGGGAAGGAACCTGTTGGGTGCAAGTGGGTTTTCACTATCAAGTATCGTGTAGATGGGTCAATTGAGAGGTGTAAGGCTCGGCTTGTTGCCAAGGGATATACCCAGGTATATGGGATAGATTACACTAAGACCTTTTCTCCAATTGCTAAGATGACTTTGGTGAGAGTTCTTTTATCCTTAGTCGTGAGCTATGATTGGCCTTTGTATCAATTTGATGTTAAGAATGCATTCCTGAATGGTGATCTCATAAGAGGTATATATGTCCTTTCCTCCTGGTATATATGGCAAGGAAATGCAGGGTAAGGTGTGTAGATTGAAGAAATCACTTTATGGCCTGAAACAATCTCCACGTGCTTGGTTTGACAGGTTTAGTGTTGCTCTTTTTCAATTCGGCTACACTCAGACTCAATCAGACCATACCCTCTTTGTTAAGAGAAAAGGCACTCTGGTGACACTCCTTATAGTTTATGTAGATGACATTGTTGTTACTAGTAGTTATACAAAATAAGTTAGTGCTCTCAAGAAGTTTATCAGTTCTGAATTTGAAATTAAAGATTTAGGGAAGTTGCAGTATTTTCCGGGCATTGAGGTTGCTATGTCTAAGGAAGGTATCTTTATTTCTCAATGGAAGTATGTGCTAGACCTTCTTACTAAGACTAGAAAACTTGGTGCTAAACCTGCCTCTACCCCTATTGATGTGAATCATAAACTCTCAACTAATGATGGAGAACTTTTAGCTGACAGGGGAGTGCTTTAGAGATTAATGGGGAAACTTCTTTATCTATGTATGACTTGTCCAGACATTTCATATGTTGTAAGTGTCATCAGCCAGTTCATGCATGCTCCCAGAGACACACATATGGCTGCTGTAGAAAGGGTGTTATGCTACCTTAAGGGAACCCCTAGGAAGGGTATATTATTTTCTAAACATGGATAGATGAAGGTAGAAGCATATACAGATGTTGATTGGGTAGGAAATGTGGATGATAGGAGACCCACATCAGGATATTGTGCTATGGTAGCCGGGAATATTGTTTCATGGAGAAGCAAAAAGCAGTCAATGGTTGCTAGATCTTCAGCTGAGGCGGAGTATAGAGCTATGGCCCATGGTGTTTCTGAGTTGTTATGGCTTAAATCTCTCCTTAATGAAATGGGTATTTCATGTGACGAGCCACTAATGTTGTATTGTGATAACTGTTGAGGTTTTAGACAAATCGTGTAGTCTATAGTGGTAGTTTTTTATTATTTATTGTTTAGATAGGAAATGGAGACCACAACACTCTTGTTGGGTCCTTTTTAAGTAGTTATTTTAATTGTTTTATGCTGTTTTATGTGTTAGCTTCCCTATAAGGGCATATTTTTCTTTGTACTCTTTATTATTTCAGACTATAAATAATAGTGAAGAGGGCGGCGGCCAGCATTATTGCTCTCTTTTTTCTCTGAAATCTCTTATCTTCCTTTTCTCCTTTCTTCTCTTCTTCAAGAAATATTCTTTTCTTTTACAAATTTTTATTTCAGCACCTTTCTCCTTGGTATCAGAGCAAGGTTAGGGTTTCTTGAAGTTTTTTCATGTAGTCCTAGATTAACCGATTGCATGAGGAGATAAAGGGCTGATCGATCTACTTCAGATTGCCCAATTCTTGGATTTTTTGGTGTGATCTAGTCATCAGTTGGGTGATCTATGTTTTGGCATCAAATTTAGGAAGAACTGGAGTGTGAGGAAGAGTCCTAGTCAAGTTGGACTCTTCAATTTTGATTTGATCTTGGGTGCTCAAGTATTGTTGGACTTCTCTAGGTATTCTATAGGGGCGGTTAGGTTTCTAGAATTTTCTGGGCCTTCTGGAATGGCCGATTCACTTTTCTCTCCGGTGGGAGACAGTGAGAGGAGAGAGATTTCTCTTCGGATAGGGTTTTCTTCTTCCGGAAAGGTCTGTTACCTTTGTGTGTGAAATTGATTAGATCTTGGAGGCTCTCTACCTAATTTTTTTTTTTTCTGCTTTTGAACTATTTAAAGTAAAATGGAGAGTTGGAGTACTAAGCAGAAGTCCACCAGTAACATGGGTATGGGTGTTGTGATATTTTTGGGTCTAGAATTATTACTACAGTGAAATTTGATGGTTCAAATTATCTAGAATGGGCACAATCAGCCAAGATGGCCATTGGTGCTCGTGGAAAACTAGTGTACATCATTGGGGAGGAGAAGAAACCTGATATAGATCCCTCCCGGTGGGTATAGGAGAATTACATGGTGATGACTTGGTTGTGTAACTCTATGTTACCTCACATTAGTAAAAGTTTTTTTGTGGGCTAATACTACAAAGGAGATTTGGGATGGAGTGACTAAAACCTATTCCTAGAAACAAAATGTAGCTAGAGCCTATCAGTTAAGGAAATAGGTGATTAGTACAAAATAGGGAGTAGACCTCTTGCCACCTATTTCTCCATGCTGAAAATCCTTTGGCAGGAGATCAACCACTTAGAAATTGTGGTTTGGGAGAGTATGAAGGATGCAACAACCTATCAAGGGTTGGTAGAAAAGAATAGGGTTTTTGAGTTCTTGGCTTGGCTGAACCTTGAATTCGACATTGCCAGGCAACATCTCCTTTCTAGAGAAAGTATGACTCTTTCTCAAGCTTATGCCTTTGTCTCTGGGGAGGAGAGCAAGAGGAATGTCATGTTGAGACAACCTGGGATTGATCAGCCAGCTATGGTTAGTACAGTTAAATCTAAGCCAAATGGAGACAGGAAGAGTAGTGAGGCTAGAAGGAGGACAAGAAGGATTTGGTGTGTGACTATTGCGAGAAGACTAAGCATATCAGAGACACCTGTTGAAAGCTTTACCCTCATCTCGTACCAGCTCGGATCAAGAACAAGAAGGGAAATGCAAATGTGGCAATTACAGGAGGCCCTTCAGGACCCCTCTCCCAAGATGATCTAGAGTCCATTGCAGCAGCAACAATGAGGATTGAATTGGAAAAATATGGACAACTTATGCGTAAGAAGGATTCAGCCAGTTTTAGTTCTTCAGATGGGCAGAACAATGCAGGAGCCAAACATACTACTTCCTTTGCTCATACAGGTAGTTCATATGCAGTTGCAAATCATGTATCCACCTCAAGTAAGGAGGGACCTCCCTGGATTATAGACTCAGGAGCATCTGAGCACATGACCAATATATCTACCTTCTTTAGTTCTTACCAGTTGTGCTTTGGTAGAGATAGAGTCTCTACAGCAGATGGTTCCCATATTCCCATTGCTGGGAAAAGGACATTTAGAGTGACTAATGACATTACTTTATCCTCTACCTTACATGCCCCTAAACTCCACACTAATCTTCTTTCAGTAAGCTCTTTGACAAAAAATTTGAACTGTTCAATGACCTTTCTTTCGGGTAATTGTGTTTTGCAGGACCTAGAATCACAAAGGACGGTTGGGAGTAGTCGTGAGGTGAATGGAGTCTACCTTCTGGATGAGATTATGACACACCCAAGCCATCATGTTAGTAACAGTAGTAGTAGTGAATCTGAGTCAGTGAGTTTATGCTCTGGCATAATCGTTTTGGTCATCTTTCTTTCATTTCATTGAGGTTTTTGTTTCCAAAGTTGTTTGATTCTATTCAGTTGTCTAGTTTGGAATGTGAAAACTGTCAGTTAGGAAAGTGATGAAGGGTTTTTTGGCAGCACCCTGTTGTTCGGACTACTTCTAGGTGGCCGATGACTCAGAGGCCGAAGTGGAGAATTTTTGCTGGATAAGGACTTGGATGCCGAGCTGACTAGGCCGAGTTGGGGGCCAAATCCACCCTCATCAAAAAGCATTGTAGACACTCTTTTAAACCGAGTAATAAAAGAAGTTCCTTTGATTTTGATATTGTTCATACCGATGTATGGGGTCCTTACCACATTTCTTCCATGGGTGGTTACCGTTATTTTCTCTTGCTTGTGGATGATCATACACGGTATTCTTGGATATATATGATGAAATCACGTGATGAAGTACCCATTTTGGTGTGGCAGTTCTACCAGATGGTTTTCACACAATTTGGAGTGAGGACTAAAGTCTTCAAATCAGATAATGCTAGAGAATACTTTGAGAAGGACTTGTCCTCATACTTTGTTACTATGGATGTTACCTTTTTTGAGTATTCTTTCCTTTTCTTGAGTGGTTCTCATCAGGGGGAGTGTTTTGGGGAGGAGAACTCACAACCTGTCCCTCTTCTGGTGTCATTTGTTCCTTCATCTGATCCACCTATTCCACCATCAGCAACTACAGTCCCATTGCCCGATCCACTACGGCCAGCCTCACATATCAACGCCACCAGAAGAGGGTTGACTCCATACATGCTCAGATAGAAGAACTTGCACCACTCTCCATCAGTCCATCTGAGATCCCAGGTTTGGTTGATACAGTTCCAGGTATTTCCCTTGAGCTTGAGCTTGTTATTTCCCCTGATAATGATGTTTATGTACCTAGCACTATTGTGGCAGCTGATCCCTTTGATCTTGATGTTCCCATTGCACTCCGCAAAGGGAAGAGAAAGTGTATAGCCCATTGCATTTCACACCACCTCTCCTACAGTGCCTTATCACCCTCTTATCGTGCTTTCCTTTCTTCCTTGGATTCTGTGTCTATACCCAGGAATGTCAATAAGGCTCTCTCCAAACTTGAGTGGAAACTAGCTGTGCAAGAAGAAATGGAAGCCTTGGTTAAAAATCAAACATGGGAAATAGTTGATCTTCCTACAGACAAAGAGACAATCGGATGCAGATGGGTGTTTACTATGAAATAAAAGGTTGATGGCAGCATAGAGAGGTACAAGGCAAGGTTGGTTGCAAAAGGGTATACACAGACCTATGGTATTGTTTACCTTGATACTTTTTCACCAGTTGCTAAGATGAGCTTAGTTCGGATTCTCTTGTCCTAGCAGCTACCTATTCATGGCCTCTATTCTAGCTTGATGTTAAAAATGCTTTCCTTAATGGTGATTTGCAAGAGGAGGTATATATGGACATTCTAGTTGGTTTTTATGAGAATGTTGGTAAGGGAAAAGTTTGTAGGCTGGAGAAATCGCTATATGGCTTGAAACAGTCACCTAGGGCATGGTTTGACAAGTTCAGAGGAGCACTTATCTGTTTTGTGTACACATAGACTCAATCCAACCATACTCTCTTTGTAAGAAGGAGAGCGACACTCTTGTCAGTATTGATTGTATATGTAGATGGTATAGTTGTTACAGGAAATGATCTGAAGGAGATTGATGCACTCAAGAAGTCACTACATCAAGAGTTTGAGATCAAGGGTCTAGGTGAATTGAAATACTTTATGGGGATTGAGGGTGCAAGATCCAAGTATGGGATTTTCATCTCTCAGAGGAAGAATGTGTTGGACTTACTACAGGAGACTGGGAAGCTAGGAACTAAACCAATTGATACTCCTATTGACCCAAATCATAGAATTAATGCTTTTGATGGTGAGTTGGTTAAGGATGTGGGAAGATATCAGAGGATGGTAGGCCGGCTACTATATTTATGTATGACACGTCTAGACATCTCCTATGTTGTTAGTGTTGTGAGTTGGTATATGCATGCTTCTTGGGTTCAGCATTGGGAAGCCATTGAGAGGATACTTGCATACCTGAAGAAGCATCCTGGTAAAGGGATTCTTTTCTTAGACCATGAAAATTTAAAGTTGGAGCCCTACACAGATGCAAATTGGGCAGGCTGCTTAGATGGCAGGAGATCTACATCAAGGGTATGCACCTTTGTGGGAGGAAACTTGGTCTCATGGAAGAGTAAAAAAATAGTCAGTTATGGCTAGATTAAGTGCAGAGGCTGAATATAGATCTATGGCTCATGATGTTTCAAAACTACTTTGGGTGAGATCTCTACTAAGTGAGATTAGAATAAAAGCTAAGGAGACCATGATATTATATTATGACAACCAAGCTGCAAAAAATATTGCCCATAATCCAATTAAGCATGACAAGACTAAACACATTGAGGTTGATAGGCACTTCATAAGAGAAAGGGTGACAACTAGAGAAGTCTGCTTGCCTTATGTCTCCTCTGAACTACAATTGGATGATGTCTTCATCAAAGGGGTTGCAAAGAATAAGCTTGAATACAATCTACGCAAGTTGGGAATGTGTGACATTTACTCCCAACTTGGGGGGGAGTGTTGAGATTTTAGACAAATTGTGTAGTCTATAGTGATAGTTTTTTATTATTTATTGTTTAGATAGGAAGTGAGGACCACAACACTCTTGTTGGGTCCTTTTTGAGCAGTTATTTTAATTGTTTTATGTGTTAGCCACCTTATAAGGGCATATTTGTCTTTGTACTCTTTATTATTTCAGACTATAAATAATAGTGAAGAGGGCGGCCAGCATTATTGCTCTCTTTTCTCTCTCAAATCTCTTATCTTCCTTTTCTCCTTTCTTCTCTTCTTCTTCAAGAAATATTCTTTTCTTTTGCAGATTTTTATTTCACCACCTTTCTACTATAACCAAGTTGCTATTAGCGCTGCTCAAAACCCAGTTCAGCATGATAGAACTAAGCACATTGAGGTAGACAAACACTTTATACGGGAGAGAGTGGCTTCAAGAGAGGTGTGCCTACCTTTCATTGCATCAGAAGAGCAACTAGCAGATTTTCTAACTAAGGGAGTCCCAAAGGCAAAGCTTCAACATTATCTAAGCAAGCCGGGCATGATTGACATCTATGCTAAGCTTGAGGGGGACTGTAGTGAGAATGGGCCGAATGGGTCCTAGTGTTCTTCATTTCTTTTAAGTAGTGTTTAAAAGTTATTTTTCTTAGTTATGGGCTTTATGGGCCTTCTTTTATTTTCTTTAATTATCTCTTTAATGCTAGCTGCCCCATTAAGGGCATCCAAGTAATTGTACTCAGACTTAAAATTATTAATAAAAGTGATGAAAGGGGGCTAGAGAGAGAGGTTCGAATTCTTCTTTTCTCTCTTCCCTTCTTTTCTTCTTCCACAACCTATTGCTGAAAACCATGGTTTTAAAAAATGACCCAAAAACGGAACCATTCTGGCCACCGGTTTCTAGGTCGACGGTTCGACTGTCCGGTTCGAACGGACGGCCAGTTCTGACAACAAAAATTAAAAAAAATAAAAAAATAAGTAAAAATAAAAATGGCCAAAACCGTTGAACGGGTAGACGGTTCAACTGCTCAGGTCAACGGGTTGTTGATCGATTCAACAGTTTTTGGCCAGGGATCGGATTTGGGGTAAAACGGAACCGGTTGCCTAGATGGTTCCCGAGACAAACGGTCTGACCGTCTGGGTCAATGGCGGTTCGAAAATCATGCTGAAAACTTCTTTTCTTCCTCTTTCTCTTTCTCTATTTTCTTCTTCTTTCTCTTTCTCTCTTTTCTTCTTTTCTTGCATTATCTAATTACTGTAGGTGTAATTTTCAACTTTCTTGATCCGATTAAAGATGAAATAAGTTTCTCAATTTTAGGACAAAAAAGCACTCCTTTTTTTCCTTATGATGTATTGCATACATGTAATCAAGTTTAAGTTACGACAAGATGTGATCCATAAGTAGGTTAACTAGACAAAGAAATTTCTAACCCATGATCCAGCCCTTTAAATGTCAATAAATGGCCAAGTCTTGAAACCATTTTTTAATGAATTTGAGCTATACAAGTCAAGAGAGAGGAAAAAAAAGATGAATCACATGATGTATTAAAGGAACCCCTAGGGGAACAAATATAAAGAAAGCTAGGATTTGTCAAACCTCAGCCAGCAGAGCCACTCCTTCAAATCATTTCTCACAAATTCTTGTGAATGATCAATGTTTGGAGCAGCATGGAAGTTATCCCCACTACTCTTGTTTCCCCTGCCCTGTAATACAAAAGGAAGGAAAATCAGAGATCCCAAAATGTAGATACAACAATATAGAAATGGAGGGCATGTAACAGGTGGAGTACTAAAGCTTGGAGACTGAAATTCACAAAATGAAACAAAATTTGAAGTGTTCCTTAAAGTCAAAAGGTTTGTAAACTAGGAAACAGATGCACGAAACTTGCTTCCCATTCAAAAGCATTTGAGTCAACCATAATATTCCAATAATTAACTTCTATCTAACTTTTTTTTTTATCAATAACACCAGCTTCATTAAATTAAAAGAAAAGAGGGATTATGGATACAAGAGGGTAGATAAAGTATCTTAGCTCCCCAATAACAGAATACAAAGAGGAAACAAAGAGAAAAAATTAAAAACTAGCCCAAAAGACAGACTCCCTATTCACCCCTTGCTTGGCCAACCCATCCGCAAATGAGTTGGTACTCCTCTTCACCCAACTGTATTGGATCTCAATGTCCCTACACAGCCATAAGAACTGTTTCTTTTCATTGTTAAAGTTCCACAATCCACTGTCCTCTTTCTTCAACCAGCTAACCACCACCTTTGAATCACCTTCCAGGATCAAACGCTTCTATCTAACTATTTTCCATGACATCATTGACCATTCAAAAGTAGAATTATACTATTTGGCTATCTAAATTTTGCAATTTCTGAACTGTACCTGGTTCATGAGGTAATCTATTGAACTAAAAAATCCAAACTAGAGAAATGCATACAACTTTAGTTAGAGAAGATATATAGAAATAAGGTGAAGATAAAAAGCATCATAAAGAAAGAAGAGATTCCACTTTTAGAGAGTCTTTCTGATTCAAAATGCTCCTATTGGAGATGTAAGGTTTAAATTCTATCTCCATGAAGTACAACAGGTAAAATTGGAACTTTACTTTGAAAAGAAATAATAAAAGGGAAATCTGACAGGACTTCAAAAGGAAACATCAGAAGAAAGTTTCTTTTTTGCATGTTCCTTACTAACAATTATCACCAATAGAATTCAAGAATCTTGACACTAGATTTGAGTAAGAATCAACTTCATTCAACTTGACCTTGTATTACATACAATTAATATAATATAATTATGCCAACAGAAACCAAAAAATTAATGTTATCAATCAAAATGCTTTGACACTTCTATTATATTCATACGCTTTATATGACATTCTTACCATGCTCGTTAAGTTTAGCTAATCCAAACACCATATAATTTACGGAGAAGTACAAAAACACATGATGCAGAATTCTGAATTCCACCCCCCCCCCCTACTACTAGCCCTCTGCCCCCCTATAAACCACATCCTGCCCGTGAATTTGGCATCAATTCACGGTCAGGATGCATTCCCCCTGTACTTTGGGGCTAGAGAATTCTGATCTGGGCTGATTGGTACTTCTCCCTATAATTTATCTTCTATGAGTTATCAATTTACTCCATAAACAATTATGTCTCCCAATACTTTAGCATGTTTATGTATATCTATGATGTTCAGATTGATGTTCATATGCAAATACATTGCGCTCTAAGGAGGACAAAAAATATACTATGCATGATAATAAAAGTTTTATGGTCCAATATCTCGAACTTTATATAAACCATTAAATTAAATAACTTATTTACAATCATATAAAACTTATAACTATTGTTATTAATATATTTTTTAGTATTTATTTGAGTTTTCTAGAATATTTATGTGTATCCTAGTTTTCCGTCCGTATCCATGCGTATCCAAGCGCATCCCAATACGTCTGTTAAAATTACCTTTCCGATACCTTGCATTTACAATACATTAAACCTTGATGTAGACCATAAAACTTGTTATAATATCTATATTATTTAACTGCACACAAAATCTCCTTTAACATGAAATGAGTACAGGATAAAACATTTAGCCTAAATCTACTACTGATGAACAGTCATCCAGTTGCATTTCATACCTGGAAATGTGGATCATCTCCAACAACGGCACGATCATCCCAATTCAACTTACCACCAAAAATATTCCAAACACCGCTTTTATTCTGATAGTGAGCACAACGGTGATTTAAGACAACGTCACCAAGAACTTTGATGCCAACTTGATGGAAACACTTCACGACTAACTTTAGTTCCTCCGTACTTCCATATCTGGTATATACCATGATAAAGGTCAATATGAAGGCCCTCTGTTCAAAATAATAATGGTATCTAATTATCAGATCATTATATATGATTATTCTGTTCCATGAAAAAAGAAAGAAATATATACCAGGCTCACTGAAGAGTAGAACTTCATCATGTCAGGCATTGGTCATTTCATTGAGGAATCCATGAATTCTTTGCAAGGACCATAAAAAATAAAATGCATACTGAAAGCTTAGGTTTTAGGAGAGACTATAGAAAAAGAGATGATAGAATTCAAGTAGAGGTTGTATCCAGTCTAAAACAAGTGAGTAACCAGTCTACAATGGGGCCCAATCAAAGAGAACTACAAGCAGAAAAAAGTTTCTTTGAACATTCTTACTTTCAACCATGATTGCATCAGGCCTTAACAGTGGGGTCCATATTCTTGGGACGAAACTATAAGAGAGTGATCAGTATTCTAGCTTTACAGTTTTGCTCCTAAGGTGTCTTTATCTACTGCTATCAAATATATAAAGAGACAAGTTCAGATGGGAAAACCACAAATAGCAAAGGTAGTAATTGGAAATTAGCATAGGTGTGGCATTCTGTGAAAAAAGAAGAAATATTCTAAGGTACCTGCAATGAACTTGATCTTTATGAGTAAAAAATTGTTTGTATACATTAAATTATTGATCCAATATGAGCCAAAAATTGGTGTTTGGTAAAATTCGGGATGACAAGCTTGAGAGCACAGGTTCAAGTCTGAAAGTGGCTACCTTGTGCAAAAAAAGTGCCAGAGGTTAGGTTCATATCCTGTCCCCCTACCAACTCCCCGGATAGCCAGGACCAACATTAGTTCAAAGACTTAACATGAAAACTTCCTAGCTAATTATTAAACCAGAGAATTATCCATTACAATAGTTGAAAGATCCAAATTGAAATATAAAAAAAAAAATCATAGTAAATGAAGTATTAATTTTTCATCCAAGAAGATGCTAACAGTTGGCATGTAGGGCTATAGTAATCATGTGCTGATTATAATGGAACAGATATTGATGGAGTTATGTTATAAATGTGATGATTACATACAAATACTAGTAAGTAATATCCTCTATGGCTTAGTTTAAGTTGAAACGTTTTTCCTTTTTTGGATCAATAGGTTGAAAAAAAGTTTGCATATAACTTAGGAAAGCAAAAGTTGCTTTTTTGTGTTGTCTAGGAATACCTGGAATTGAGGTTGTATAAATCTTTTGGCATGTAACCCTCAGGTGAAACGGATTCTGTAGGCGGTGGTAACCATAGAATAGTGAAACCAAGTGAAGATAATTCACTGGCTCTCTCAGTTAACTCCATGTACCATCTACCAGATTTATGAGATTCCCAGTTAAATCCTTGGCAGAGTATTTCATATCCTGAGCCCGTTCCTGAGCATATCTTCAGAGGTGGTTTCAAGGTCTCAGCATCTGAAATAGCCTCCTCCAGAAATGTTGGAGTAGAGCTTCTGAAGATACTATAGGCTTCGGCAGCTAACTTCTCAATTTCCTCAAGTATGATTTCTTGTACTTCCTTGTTTTTTGTTTTATGACTCTTTTCAGATGAGATATCACTTACCAGATTTCTTATTTCATTGATGATACCATCAGTATAACCACCCTGAGCAACAACCTTATCAGCATCTGCCATTTTTCCAGATATTCCTGAAGAACTTGATTCATCTCTTTCATTAATAACTACTTCAGAAACTTCACTTTTGGGAAGATATAAGATGTCTTGCTTCCCCTGACCTTCAGTTTGACTTTGACTGCTTTGCACAGGAGAGCTATTGGCTTTTGAAAGTGGAACATAGAAGTCACACCCCATATAATTCAGCCAAGTGTTCTCATTTAGTTTCAGCACAAAAAGCAATGCTTTAAATTCCCTATCTAAAGAGAATAGTCCCCAACATCCATGCCCATCCTCTTTTGGCTGCAAAGGGAGGTCCAAGTATTAAAAAAGAAAACAATCTTTAAGTATTTGCAATTAGAAGCCTAACAGAGTAGTCTAAATTGAAAAACTAAGCAAAGTAGAAAGGTGAACTCCTAGACATGAACTTTTGAAGTTTAGATAAATTTAAGTAAAAAAGAGAACTAGAAATAATTCATGAATAAAAGTGTACACATCCAGTCACTTATTTTGAAATATATCACCATGATATTTTTGTGCTCATGAGAAGGAGCAATGACCACAATGAATATAGAACCATCCAAAAGATAGATTCAAACACCACCTCTAGTCAAGAAAGTTCAGATCTAATAGCAATTCTCCTTTGCATAATATTATCTTCTCAGGAAAAGTAACACTTTATCAGTGAAAAAAAAAACTCAAAATAACAGGTTCCAAGGAACATGACAAATGATCAATCAATAGGCCCATAGCATCAAAACTATGCACCCTTACTAGATAAGAAGTTTCAAAACTGCTTTCAAGACCCTCTGCACGAGGTCCTCCTGCACCCTGTATGCCAGTCACCAAAGCATTTAAGTGTGTATAACTTATGGACATTCCATGGTCAAATAAAGGATCTGGAACACCACAATCTTCCTTTTATTCTCCCCATTCCATTGATCAAAGCATGTGGATCAATTTAGCCTCCAGTACTCCCAATCAGGTTAAAATATCACTTTCCCTAATGTAAGTTGATATCTAAGGCTGCATTTAGTTTGACAGAAAAGAATAGAGAAACAGAAAGTCAGGGAAAAGGCTGTGTCGAGAAATTTCACATTCCTTAAGAACGTTCCCTCAACTTTCTGTTTCTCTCCTACTTTCTATCAAACCAAACATAGCTTAATAGTCAATCATTCGTTTTAACTATTAGAAAAAGAAAGAGGTACTCTATTATTGAAAGAATCTTTCTGTGCATGTCAAAAATGTAGCACACAAAACCATTAATTAGACCTCAAAATGCTACACCAATACTTTACTTATCCATACTGAAATCCATACATGCAGAATGACTTTAACCATCTGAATTAAGTATTAAAAGAAAAGACATATGCTAGATTAAAAATGTATTTGCAGTGAATTATTTGGAAATTAGAGAACCACAAACAGCATCAACCTCTGCGTGGGACCAACCCAGAGTGTGGCCTAACCTATGTTACTTACCTGTGACAAGAACAGGGATGGACAAAGGGTTGCATAATAACTAAAAAATTAAATGTCTGACATAAAATGGGACCCGTTTTGGACCTAAAATTTTAATCTTGTGATTGATGACCATGTTGTCTGAATGGATGTTGGTAGGAGGCTAGGACCAATCAGAATCTGAGATAAGTATGATGTCTCAACTTGAGGAGCACGAGAAAATAGGATTCAGCAATGGGTGTATCCTAATTGGTGATTAGTCAGTTGAGGAATTGTAATGTTAATCGTAGGGTTAGGTGGTAGTACCAGCCTGAACTTCCCATCTCATAGAATTTTTTTTAAATCAATAATAATAAAGGTTACAAAAAAATCTTTTATGTTATATATAATGCCATAACTGATGGAACGAGGACAATTAAATGTAACATTGTAGGTTGATGTAAAGAACAGTAAACAATTAAAACAATTTATAATTATATTAGATATTATAACCTTACATTCATTTTCAAACTTAGCCGAAGAATATAATGTTTTAATTTCCATAGACCATAAACTTGGTAAAGAGTCCCTTCAAGTTTCATGCTGGGGTCCATTTCTACATGTATGAACCTGCAACTTGTTCAAGTCTATAAAACATAGGGTCATATATACACTATTGCCTCATCTCCCTCCCTATTAATGATCTACTTCACGAGAATCTTTTAAGTTGTGATTCAGTGCCAATCTACATGAACATGAGAACAGATAAAGCCATCAGGTTTACAACACATTCAACTTCCTTAGAATCAAAGTAACTGGTTTTAGTTATTCCCAGTATAAGACTCAAACAAGTCTAGTGACCATCTACAGGCTGACAAAAATATTATTTAGTTCCAAAATATAGGTAAAAACATTTTTCATTTTTGTACCTGTAACAAAGTTCGCAAAGCCTTTTTCTTGAAAACTTGGGTTTGTGGTGGATGTGGAGCTGCTGGAATTTCCCACTTTTTATCATCATCTCTGCACACACCCCAGTGGACAATAACATCTCCAGGCAGATCAGTGTCTAAATGAATAAGATTCTTATCTTTATCTGGGCATTTTCTAACAGAAACAGTCATGTAGTTTTGAACAGGAACTTCTTTAAAAATAGGATGTTCCTCATAGAATCCTTCAAGGCACTTATTTTGCTTCTTATCATCTGTTTCACCAGTATCTTCCTCATGTGTAGGTTTCTCTGGTTTCAGAAGAATGCTAGGTATTTGCCCCAGAGCTCCTGCAATTCATGAGATAGTAGTGGATTCTATCTTTTAGTCAACTTATCTAGAACCTTAAATAGCAGTTCAACAATGATATGAAATATACAAGAAGATGAGATTAATGTACTTCAGATAAATATATCTAATTACCTTATACCAAAAGAAGCATTAGGCAGTAAAGGACAAATTTGCCCATCCCAATCACTAAAGATTATTGTTGAACCTTCTCAATATTTTCCATTTTATGTAAACAGTATATTAAATATGATACTTTTTATTTAGAATATAATTGAACATCTTCAGCAATTTGTGTTACAATTTCACCCTAGAAGTATGTAGAACATTAAAGTCTATCATAATGAGCATATTCCCATCCAATTTTCCACAACATCATGATTTATCTAAAAAATTTGTCCATTATGCAGATGGATCACGGTGATGAAAATTGATACAATTTTGTGGTTAAACATAAATTAGAAAGGAAATTTTCCTGTATGGTATGACACTAAAACAAGGATAAAATAAGCAAGCAACCTATTGATAAGGAGAAGTAAGAATGAACAAAAATTCTTGATCAACAACAAAAATGGAGGATAACACTGCATATTAGCAATACACACAACCTGGCCATATACCGAAGCTCTTTTTGGCACCTATTATGTTGGCATCTTCGTGAAGGTAGCTTATAAGGGGCACTTTGTAATCTCTTCCTCTGTGCTGACACCAAGCTCCAGATTCCTCATCCTATATTCAGAAACACCAAATAGAAAATTTCTAAAATATGTATATACTAGTATGGCTAGTTTAAAACGCCCATTAGTATTTAAAAAAAAAAAAGGATCACCAGAAAGAACTAAGCTATCATTCAAAAACAAGAATAAAAAAAAATGAAAAAAAAGTAAAGGAAAAAAAGAGAGTTGGTTTTTTGGAGACTGCAAAATGTGGGAAGTTTGGACCTTCAGAACAAAATTTATGGCTACAATTGAACTGTTACAGTTAAATTTGATTTTCGCTTCATGGAATGTTTCGCCTTCAGAAGTTGATGACGACTTCTTCAAGGGTGTCTCTATTGCATAATCCTGAAAAGGCAATAGTAATATGTACTTACGTAGAAAAGACATAGGCAAAGTTAATCCACCAGCATCATAATCCAGGAGTACCATAGATACCTTAATGGGAATGGAGCCAGGAGGTATCATTTCAGGTGGAGGTTGATCCCACTCGCTGAAAATTAAAAAAAAAAAATACATAAAACATTTATAAATTCTAATCATTATAATTCAATAATGATTATAAATTCTAATCATTTCAGAAGGCCTCCATTTATAAATTCTAATTATTATAATTCAATAAGAAATAAAAAAAGATAAAAGCATAAACTCCAAAATAACAAGAGACCGAATTATAATATCTACATGTTCACTAGTTAACATGGCGGGATGGCCCCGTATTGATCATGCCAAATGCTCTCTGTAATTTGGGAACCAAGTAACCGAATAAGATTTCAAAGTGACATATTTGAAAAGCATTGACCATAAAGGATAGCAAACCTGCCAACGTCATCGATATAGTTTACACCCCAATGCAAGAGCCACTTCCCTGGAAGATCGCATCCTACTGTAAGCTGCCAATTCTCTTCATCCTTTCCTGGATCCAACCTCACCGAGATCTTACCTTCCACCTGCCATTAATCGTACATCCACAAGTTCAAACGTGGAAGAGGATAAACTACTAGAGGATATATACGAGTATGAGATGATTCATAACATACCCTTTCAGTACGTTTCAACTGAAAAGTCTCCCTAAAAGAGACGTCCGCAGCTTCGGAAGCCTCCACCAGAGCTGCATCAGTAGAACTACTCCTAACCGTCCGAAACCTATAAGGTTTGGAGTTGCAGAAGCACCTGCGGTGGTAGCACAGTTTCGGAGAGTAATTCACACGAGATGGTCTTAGTTTCTTCGATTCTAGGCGAAATATCACCCTTTGTCTGCAACACTGGTGAAGCAGAGGCTCTAGTGTAACCGTCGACATTCTCGATCCAGCGCAAGCAGAGAGAGAGAGAGAGAGGCAGAAAGCTTGGAACTTTTGAACTTTTTGCAGCCGTAATGTCTTTTAAGCAGTAATTGTATGCAACAGATATTTATGTACTAATAATTTCTGTCCTGTTCTTGCAAAATTATTGCAAGAGTGGACAGGATTTTTTTATTTAAAAAAACCATGGTGGGGATATTTATTGAATAATTTGAAAATTAATTTCCGCTTTTGATCTACGTGGATTCAAAGTGTCAACGTTCTAAATATGGAAATCTAATAGCGTATGTTGAATCAACGGGATTTTAATCTGACGGAGCACATAAAGGAAAGCAATCACCAATCAGAACCATTGAATCCACGTACCAAACCAAGTTTCAGTGAACGAGATGGAAAATGCAAGTAATTATTGAATTGGAATCATTAGATAGCTCTATGGTCAGTCACCCAGGATCATAGGACAGAGTCAAAAAGATTCCAATCCAATTATGTTACCAGATAGAATTAGATAAGTATTTATGCGTACACGTTGTGCAAGCCATCACCGTCACAATGAAAGAAGGAATCAATCAGGAACACGCCGATCCCGATAGGAAATGGATAGAGAAGAAAATCCAATAGGCTAACGGTTCCGTTAATGGTTGATTGAATGATGACACTTGCCATTACATTAGTCGATTAACAATGATTATCAACAAAACGCTCCCATCATGTCCCAACTAGCCACTGCAGCCGTAATTGGGAACATTTTCCCAGTAATGAAAGGGAGATGTTCCTAATGTGCGGCCGAAGTAGTTTGTTGGGACATGGTTGGCAGCGTTTTATTTGTAGCAAGTCCCTACTCCCTTACCCCTTACTAGTCACTGCTGTCTCCACAAAATGCCCGATTGTAGAATTGGGATCGGCTACACACACAACACTCCTCGTACCAGACTTTCATTCACAGTCACACCCACGTGCATCGGAAACATCTCCCATAAAAAATAACAGGAAGATTGGTTATTCAGCTCAGGGTCAGAATTTGTAGGCTAAACTACTGGTGGGTAGGTGTCAATTTGGAATTGATGCCAATTTATGGACGGTTGGTGCATAAAGTGTGGGTTGTAGTCCTTTTGAATATTTATAACTCTACAGTGTAAATCAGAAATCTGCATTAGTCAAATCCATATTTTTCCAAAAATAATATACAAGTACCACGAAGATGTTCTTGATGTACGACTAGAACATGCTATAAGATTTGTATGAGGATCAAATCCAGACACTTGATTGCAATTGGTAGGTATTACGAATTGGGATTTTCTGTCAATAAAACATGTTCCAACCTTCTACCAACGTCATCTCATACTGCACATCTTAACTTGAATCTGGGATACACCATAAAAGCGGGACTCGCCGTGTATGAAATTTGTAGTGTGAGATGAAGTTGGTAGAGGTTTGGAACGTGTTTTGTTGGTAGGCAGTCCAATCTCAGGTATCACACCTTTGCAGAATTTGGGCTTAATATTCATAGAAGCATGCCTCACACCATCCACATAGCACTTGCAGCCGCACACTGGAATATCTTCAGTAGTTTGTATATTGCCATGCACGGCTGTAGGGATGGCAATTTTCCCTATCCCCAATGAAAACCTGACTTCCCCGACCCCATCAGGTTGAGGATGGGGATTGCTTTGATGAGGTAGGAATGGGTCCCTGCAGGGCACCCGTCCCCGTCAGGGATCAGGAATGGATGACAACTTTTATCCTTGGCGGAGATCGAGGATAATGATGGAGATTAATTTCAGAATCAAAGTTGAGGATGGAGAATATGATCCCCACCCTGAACCTACCCTATTGCCATTCCTACATGACTGCAACATGCCATGAATTCAGTGTGAAATGAACTCTATAATGAGCAAATCCAAATTTGACTTCGCAAAAAACCTAGATTTCCTACTCACGCCCTATCCACATTACACTGCAATTGCACATCTCACAATATACGATGGCCATGTCCATGTGTAATGCAAGTGAAGGCAGATAGTGAGTGGTGGACAATAAATCTGGAGTGCTTCACGAGGCCGACAAGACTGGGAAGTGTCTTTACATAGAAAACATGAGCAGATATCATTGTATGTCTAGTTCACTTGAATCCAATTGTCCCTACGATCAAATTAGATTTTGACGATTTTGGGTTAAACTGCTTTTGCTGACCTTTGTTCTTTGGCTATGTTGTTTGTTTATGGTGCAAATTCAAAATAGCTTAGAAAGAGTATAAATGCAAATATGTAGGATGCAAAGTATATATAAAATGTAAAGTTTTGCATTTGTACTACTTCCAAACTGAGCCTTAGTCTTCGTTTGGAAAGAGTGCAAAACCCAGTTTGAGGGAAACATGCATCCTGGGTCGTTTTTCCTGTTGTTTGGTAAAGATGTGAAAAAAGCCTGAAAATCGAGGAAAATATGCAATATTGTCAGTATTTTCCTTGATTTTGGGGTATAAATGTACATCAAAATTTTGGAAGCAATCTCATTTTCCACCAATGAAAATAAATCTCTGATTTGCTTTATTCATTGCCTCTTGTGTTTCCGAGGAACTCCACGGTTGAGCATCATCAACATTTACTTTCACACAGCTCTTTCATCAAAGTGGCTATTACCTCCATTGAGAAGAAAACCATAAATCATCTCACAAATGCCTCTCTTGTTGTCGACTCACAACACAAATTCATCATAACCCCTATGATTATCACCTCCTTAATCCCCCTATCCACCAAATACTCCTCCAACCCCATCCCTCAAAACTCAAGTGTTCTTTTCCACCACCTTATCACCGCTCCTCCGTCCCAACTCAGGCACCAGCTCTGTCTCAACCGTTGATGATCATATAGGTGTTCCACCACTCCCCAAGCATATCGTAGTCTAACAGTGACTTGTGGCAATGGCGGGTAAAGATTACTAGCATTGAAACACTTCGACATAGAACAATGATGGTGGGTAGAATCAGCTTCCCCATCGATGAGAAATAGTTCTACATTAGGGATGCAAGCGGATTGGATTGAATTTGAATCAGGGTGTATTCAAATCCGATCCGATACTGTTCATGTTGGATCTTATCCAATTAGAAGATCTGATTGAATCTGATAGGACTTTATTTGAATTCAAATCCCATTAGTAAGTTGAATCTGATCTGACTTGTTTTCTTCAAAAATTAATAAATTATTAAAATAAAATAAAAATACTAATTTAAATAATAAAGTAAAAACAAAAAATACAAGTATTTTTAAATTATTTTCATCATATATACATGTTTTTATAAAAAATAAATAATATAACAAATTTATAAAAATATAATATAAAAATATATTTATAAGTAAATAAATAACATATATATGTATTATATATATTTATAAATATATAATACATATCGAATTAGATAGGGGGTGATCCAAATCTGATCCGATTGGATCATATTATCCAATTCGGTCTAAAGATCCAAACAGGAGTGATCCGAATTCGACCAAATAGGATCAGATCATTGATCCAATCCATTTGAACCCCTATTCTACATGTTGGTTACCAAGAGAAGGGCGGCTTTTGGATCTGCGTTTATCTTCCTGATCTTGAATTTCTTGTAAGAAGAATAGGAATCTCCCATTTGTTGAGACAAACAGTAGTTCTATCCTCTGAAGCTCCAATCACAGCTCACATACCAAGGTTAGTTTTCTTGTTTGGAACTTGTTTGTGACTAATACATGTAAGAAGATGGAATCATTAGATTGGAATCATGATAAATCATCCCTACAATGTCAAAATGTTCTAGAACAGGCTAGAGGGCTCTATGATTCTCTTCTATCCAATTAAATTGAGAAGTAGAGAGCAAGCAGATTGTAATGTCAAAAATTTCCCAAACAACTACAAATATGTGCCACTGGTTTCTTCTCTTTCCTGCCAAACACCAGCTAGTAGTGCAAATGGGGTGCCATCTGGCCTAAACTTTACATTTACCTGAACCGATAAAAATTACATTTACACTCTATATATTTGTATTTGCACTCTTTCCAAACGGAGCCTTAGGCTCAATTTAAAAGGATAGAATAGTTGCATAGAAATCATCTAAAAAGAATCATTTCCTCTTTGTATCTATGCATTTGTGCATATTTACGGACAATATAACCACATGGCCCATCTTTTTTGCTTATATTTCATGTAAGCGCCAAAATTAAAGATACAGTACAACTCTTTACAATTTAGCCATGTAAGTTTCTCTATATGAATGAAATGTTCTCTTTGACCAAAAAAAATGAAAGGAATACAAATATAAATATATAGAGTATAAAATTTTGTATTTGTATATATTTTCAGTGTATATATTTGTATTTGTATTTGTATTTGTACTTGTGTTTTTTTATGCGTGTTTAGTTTTTGTTCGACATTATAATTGTACTTGTACCTGACATAAAATTTGAGGGGGCATAAAAAGTTGCCATTCCAGCCCCCCTTACTATTAGCCCTCTCCCCCCTATAAACCAATCCTGCCCGTGAATTTGTCATCAATTCAGGGTCAGGATGCATTCCCCCTGTACTTTGGGGTTATAAAATTCTGATCTGGGCTGATTGGTCATTCTCCCTTTTATCAAACAAGAAATGACACACGTATTTAATTCATTGGCTCATGGAATGGAATTTACATATGCACCCCACAGAGTGGCCCCAAAAACGTTCCACACACATTCCAACCATGTATTGGGAGCATCTCTCAATGACAAGTATGGGAAATGTTCTCAATGCATGCTGAAGTGTGCATGTGAGGTGTTTTTGGGGTGCACTCTGAGGGGTTGATGTGAACTCCGTGGAATGGATCGTTTAGAGTCCATTTAAGCATCATATATGTGCTTTGATTCCATAGTTTCAAAAGCATGTTAACTGAGCAAGTTTAACTTCAAGGGGGCATTCTTTTTTTGGATTATGAGGGGGGAAAGTTGGTTAATGGGATTTTGGTTCCCATTAACCAAGAATCCCATGTTCTTTTTTCAGATTAATGTGGGAACTAGAGAAAGTTTATTTTCCTAAATATCACTTACCCGG